TTTAAATCTTTTAGACGAATTTTATTTTCTTCTTCAGGTTTAACTAAGTCAAGCATCTAAATTCAAATAGAATAAATTTAATTGGAAAAAGTTGTTGTTTTTTGTTTTTCAATTCATACTTGACATATACAATCTTCAAATGGCATATATTCAATACCATAAATTTCCATCTTATGTACTTGTTCTTGATAGAAATAATCTAATTCAAACATTGATAATACACCATCACCATCTAAATCCATACAACGAAACCAATATTCAATACTAAAATAAATATTTAAAAAAATGTTGTTTTTTTTTATATTATTTTTAGAAATTTATATAGTACCTTGTTGGTGAACGTTTATCTTCTTCTGATATAAGAAACCATACAAATTCATAATATGACATTTTTCCTTCTCGCATATTTTGACTACTGCAAAAAAAAAAAAATATTTTCTTATCGAAAAATAATTCCAATCAATAGATTACTTTGATATAGCACCCGAAAATATTCGATCGATCATTTTATTTGAAATAGCTAAAGAAAAAAAAAACAATCATAATTATTTAAATAGATATTATTATTTACCGCCATTATTATGTTTAGCTAAATCATCACGACTTATTAATAAATCATGATCAGAATCCAATTCCCAAAATTTACAATAAATTACATAAAAATGTTCATATGAAAAATAATCATGAATACGATTAATATCTTCTTCTTCTTCGATTCGATCGAGAGTCTTAAATAAATACAAAAAACAAAAATATTAATTTTTCATAGAGAATTTGTCCTAGAAAAAAAAAGAACTCAACAATATCTTAAGTATAATACATTACAATCAGTGTCAAAAGAGATGAATGATAGAAATACTCCGTCGTTGTTATTTGTATCAGAACTGATACAAACGTCTGTCATAATCAATGAGAGTCCAATGTTTTCTTCTTCTTATAGAACTCAACACTTATTAACACCTAGACATCTGATATGAGAGATAAATATATATATATAGCACAAATAATCATTTTCTTGTAGAACTCATTTTTAACGTTATTATTAACTTTTAGCACCAAAATTTTTATGTTTCTTGATATTAATTTTGATAAAATATTTTTTGATAATTTATAAAATAAATTCTTACCGAAAGAAAATTTGATCGTCTTAATTCTTGTATAGTTAATTTTCCTGACCATGATCGATTACAATTATAATAAATTCTAGCTACAACAGTTTTAATATATCTTGAATGAAATTCTCGTGCTTCACGTAGAAATTTCAAACCAGGATGTGTATCAATAATATCTTGTATTAAATAATCCCAATCATCAACTGTTAAATATTGACGATTGGTTGGTAATGATGATGGTGATGATAGAACAAGTAGATGAACAAATTTTGATGCATTATCATGATGATTTTTACATAATCTAAAAGAAAAAATTTTTTTTTGTATAAATAAGAATTATTTAAAATATATCAATACTTCTTCCAAAAAGATTCAAATTGTGAATATGATACAGTTGTATTCGATGTAATAGTTGTTTTTTGTCCTAATGCATCTTGTACACATGCACGAAATAATGGTGTTTTCCAATATAAACTTAAATCAACTAACTAAAAGATAATAAGAAAAAAAAAATTTTTTTTTATTTAATTTTTTACGAAAATAATTATTAATTTATTTTCTCATACTTGTGCTAATTTTCCAAAATCTTCTAAATGTAATTTATCATGTTTTGGTATAAATAATTCTTCTTTAACTTGATGTAATTGTTTATTAATTAATGTATCAATTGCTGTTGTTGTTGTTATTTGACCATTAGGAAAATGAAATTTAGGAATAGTTTCAACTGGTTTTGATGTTTCTTCAGGTTTACTAACTGTTGCTGGTATGGGTGCAACTTCTTTGACAGTTGTTGTTGTCGTTGTTGGTGTTGGTGTTGTTTTTGATGGTATAGATGTTTGTCGCTGAGCATTTTCATTTGGTAATGATGAAACAGGTGATTTTGCTCGTGATGGAGTTTTTGCTTTTGTAATTGATGGTGAATGTTCAACAATATCAAAATGTTCACGTAAAGAAGCAACACCACTACCAATTGGTTTGGGCGATGTTGGTGTTGGTGATAGATCACGAATAACGGTTGATGGAGATTGTGAACGAGGTTGTAATATAGGTGTTTGTTGCGTTGGTTTTGATATTGTACCATTTGATGGTATAGCTGTTGTTGCTGTTGGTGTTGTTGATATTCGATTTGGAACAACACTGGTTGAAGTTGATGGTGAAGTTGGTAAAGGTTCTGATTTAGCTACTTGAGATGGTGATGCTTTTCCGCCGGATACCTAACAAATAGGAGAAAAAAAGGATTTAATAAAATAAGATAAAAAAAAAAACCTTAAATTCATATTGAGTTATCTAAGTTTTATGATCGATTTCTGAATGAATTATGTATAAGAGAAAACAAACTATATGTCATGTAACTACCTCAGAAATGAAGAAAGCCGATCGATGTTGCTGATCGGGTATAGTAGATTGTCCTACTATTGCTTGTGATTTAAGTGGCCATATAGCCTCTGGATTGATAAATTTTTGTCGAATTTGTTGTTGTATATGTTGCTGTATTTGATCAGCTGGATAACGTTTTTCAAAAACAAAATTGATGTGTGATTTGGGAATTTTTGGTGATATCGATATACGTGCCAATGGTGTCGAAACAGGTCGACAAAAGCCTGTATGGATTTAAAAATATGTGTTTTTTTTTATGGTTGTTTTTTTGTTATCTGACTCAGAGAGACAGATAATAAAAAAAAATAAATCTTTAGATTTATTTATTTTTTATTTTTTATTCTACCTTTATGAATAGCATCACAATAACGACCATAATATCGACACTGTTCACAGAAATGTATTGCCCGTCGGCGTTTCTGATCAATTCGTATATTAAAATAAACTTGTGTGGTCGAACGGACCACCTGACAAGGTACACTAGTCATTGTCATATTCTTTGCATCTAGAGTGTAAGAGGAAGAATTGTCTTTATGACTTTCGTTTGATTCTACTCTTTCTCATCTACATGCGCATATAACAAATTGTTTCTTTTTTTCGTTTTTTTTTTTTTTACGTGATTCATTTTGACTCGTTCCATCTCTTCCCTATTCTCTCTTTTTCTTTCGTATACTCTCCGTTTTAATGCTTAACACTTGTGATAAGCTTTGTGTATGTGTACGTCGGCGAACCGCAAAATCGACATGAGTGCCGACCCACCTCTTACTTACTACTTCATTTATGAGTCGAGAGAGTTGAGAGAATGAATAAGCTAAAGATGAAAGTAGAAAGAAAAAATAAACAAAATCGAAGAAAAAAAAAGAAGAAAAATTCGACCGTTATGTTCGTAATAAAAAAACAGAATGTCGAAAGTAAAAGAAAGAGAAAAAAAAGAGAAACAAAAATGAATGGTTGTATGAAATATCTAGTCCTCTTTTTAAATATGCCAACAACCGTAGTCTATATAGTGATATCAAATACCAATGTGTGAATAATCATTGCGTAGGTGGCAAACTGAATGTATATAAATATATATGAATGTGTTGGATACAAAATCTAGACATGTCAAATATATTTTACGAGTGTACTATTATTTGTTACTTATGTATATATTGTCCATGAGAAAAAAAAAGAGTAAATGTATAAAATTTCAATAGTAAAACAAAAAATTGTCATATACTTATTTTAATTTATCCAAATCAGTTGTTTTTTGACCTCTTTTGCTCGGTCTCTACGAGTTTTTTTTCTTGTTAACTGCCTGTCTCTATTAATATAGATCTTTACCCTACAAACATTCTTCTATCCTCAATACATATACACAACGATATACTAAGTCAACAAACAACGAATATGACGATTCTTCTTTCTCTCTTTTTTCCTCATCTTCTCTATCATGCTGTCACCGACTATTGCTCTCTCGAGGATATCTACGACTAATGGTACCATTCTTGTTGGCGATAGATTTTTTTTCTCGCATGTACGACACATACATATGATGTAATGGATGGATAACAAAGATGGAAAAAGAGAAAAAAACAGAATACATGGCAGTTACATCCGTATGTTTCTTCTTCTTCTGCTTCTTCTATGGATACCAATAACTTTCTTATTACGAATGCGACAAAGCATAAAAGAAAGAAAAAAAAAACCCTTACTTGTTGTTGATCTATGCTGCCGATTGTAGTAATACTAGGAGTCGTACCACCATTGACTATTGGATATTTTTTCTTTAATGAACGTTGTTTCCGTTCATCACTACTACCAGTTAAACCAGAAGTATTTTCACCAGTTGATGGAATAGAAGATAAACCACTACGTGGACTTGAAGCTGTTCGTGGTACGGGCGAAACAGGTGGTGAATCGAAATGTTGTGGTTTGGAAAAACCCCCACCACGTGTTGTATAAGTCTATGTAGAACAAAAAAAAAAGAAGGCGACCCTATATTAATAAGTATTCTACTTCGAATTGCAGAAAATTTTTAATGTTGAATTACACACAAACCTTTGGATATATAATAGGATCAGGCATTTTACTATTTGTTCGAACACTCTGCAATGCAGCATAAAGTGTCGTACGTGTATCTGCTAATGAAAGCCATTGCAAAAATAAATCATTAACCATCTTTGTGATGGGTATTGATGTATTTGACGTTGTTGTTGTATTGTTCATTTTGTGTATATATATATATATATTCTATATTAAACAATTACAAATTAAATGGACGGCATTTATATCTAGAAGATGAAATTAACTGAAGATCGTTCTTTTTCCTTTTGGTTTTTTTTTTTTTGTTTGTTTTGAAACATAAAAAAATAAAAACACAGAAATAATTTTCCATCAATCCAATAGAAAAAAAAAACAAAACACAAGCGAAAAAAAAACAAAAATTCACTTCTATTATTTTGTTCTACACAAAATCATATGTATATATTTATTTGAAAAATCACCAGAATGAAAAGAAAAAAAAAAATATTAAAATTCATCGCCATAAAATGAACTTCGACGAAATATCCATTTATCAGCATTGTTATCCGTTTTTTCAATGACTGTCATCTAAATAGAATTTTTAAGAAAAAAAAAAAATAAAAAAAAAACAAAAAGAAAAAGACTTTTATTTTGTTTTTTTATAAAAGATTTATTTACTGTAAGAAAATCAACATTTCGAATAACATGTGGTAATGTATCAGGACGAAATTTTCCACCACATAGTTTACGTGTACATGTTTCTAAACTTGGAGCATGTGCTAAATAAAAATATTTTATTTTTCAAAAATAAAAAAATAACAACAACAACAGTTTTAATCATACCAACAAATAAAATATGTAAATATTGTTGTGGTAAGATTTGTCCTTGTTGTATTTGTGTAATTAATTCATGTTCATGCATTTTAAGTATACTTGCTGTAACAGCATGACTACGTTGATAAAATTCTAATTCATTTTCAAGTTGAGATATGTCAGCCATCGTCATTTGTTCACGATAATTTTTATCAATAGGATATTTATTCTCCAAAAGTTCCTTTTTTGTCATAAATCTAGGCATTGTTACAACAGTACTTGTTTCACTTGCTGTATACCAACCAGTACATTCAAATAAACCTGGTTCAATACTATTGTTTTTTTTTTAGAAAAGACAAAAACAATTCATTTGTGTTTTTGTTCTCTGAAAGATATTTAATTAAGAAAATTCTTACCGAATTTTGATTTTATTGTGTAATTGTAAACCTTCAAGAAGTTTTGCTGCTGTTTGCACACAGCGAAGTGATGGAGATGCATAACAATAAGTAATATTAATTGCTTTTTCTCTTAATACAGTTCCTATTTGAAAGAAAATTATGAAACATATATGAAAGTATATAAATGAATATGTTCACCTGTATGAAAGGCGTCTTTAAGACCCTTATAAGTAAGTGGTGGATCAAGATCAAAATCACGAATCGAAGCACGAAATGGTAATGCTTCTCTAGAGAAGAAGAATCACATAAATAGATTTCTAAAAAATAGGAAAAGTATTTTGCCAAAAAAGAAAAAGAAATCACTTTAATTTCGTTGATTTCTTAGTAGACATATATATATACGTTGAATCATTTTATTGTATTTCAAAATATTTTTTATAGAAGGTTACAGGACATTTTCTCGATAAAATTCTGCCTATCATGTCGATTATAAAATCAATCAGACGTTTTTTTTCACACATCATTGACATTTTAACCTAGTTATATTGCTTTTCATTTTATATTAATCAAGTCCCGTGTCCAATTATAAAATCGAATAAACAAAATCAAAATAAACATATCTTGAAAACTTACGGTAAAATAGGGGAAAATCGACAAAAATTTCCATCTTTGTCAAATGCTTGTCTTAACCATTGTGATGAATAATATCGATCAAGCCGTTCACCATGTCGAAGTACTAATAATCGTATTGGACCTTGTGTAACAGGTAATGGACTCAATGGTGGATAGGCTGTACCACGCTGTTGATCGATATTTAATGTTAAACTTTGCGATGGATTGTTCACGCGTGTTCCTGTATTTCCTTGAGTTTTTGATGTAGTTGATGATGATTTAAAGATTTTTTGTATCAATTTTCGTACACCATGTTTTTCTTTTGTTTCGCTAGGAATGGTATTTGATGATGCTGAACTCGATGATTGCTTTGAAGCAGTACTAACTTTTGGCGATATAAGAGGAGGAATATTCATACTTGATGTGCGACTACTGATTCGAGAATTCGTACAAAGTTCATTAAATTCCATACCATGTGTAAAATTCGTCATAAATGAGAAATCTGACTCACGACGATCATCATCTATATCCGTATGCGAAGAATTTCTTGTGTGACAATTTTCTGAATTATCAAATTCATCATCAATTGTTACAGTTGTTCTTGATGGAGATGTAATTACTTTACCAGATGATGTTTTCAACGATGATACACCTGAGTCCGCATCGAAGTCCTAAGAATATTCAATTATTATAAATTATATTAATTCAAATGTTTAGAAACTTCTTCTTTTTTTTTTTTCTATATCATCTCTAAGAATATATTGTATTATTTCATCTTTGGTAATTTTTTTTATATTGAATAAAAAAAAACACTCTATTGAAATATATGACCCGATCTGAAATAATACATACACTTTTTTATTGATGTTTTTATTTCTCTTTTCGATGATTTATAATTATTGATAGAAACTATTTTATAGAGAAATAATCTTCGTCAATGAAATTTAATGTAAGATAAACAAAAAATAACCTTTGATTCATTAATAAGATCAAGTTGTTCAATCCGTTCAATAATTTGTTCATATCGAGAAGCACTGTCTTCGGGTACTGATTGTTGTTTATTTGTACGGCGAGATTTTTTTTGTTCCTGTTCTGGAGAAATAATCACGCTCTCCGTTTTCGTCAAACCATCTTCGCTCATACCTTGTCGTCAAATAATATTTGTTTCCTTTAAATATAAATAAATATTTTTAAATAAACAAGTAGTACGTATAAAGAGAAGAAAAAAGAAATAAATTATATATACTATTGACATTTTTATGATGAAGAATTAGAGCAAAAAAAAAGCGAAGAAAAAAAAAAAACGAAAATGTTTTTCTATCATTTTTATCAAATGATGATGTCAGAAATATTCATGATAAATGAAGAGTAGAAAAGAAAAACGTTAAACTATCAATACGAACGGAGCTTTTTTTTTTACACCCTTCAACATAAGACATCGACAGTACATAATCAAAAGAGCACGCGAATATGTGAGCATATAAACTCAGTCATGTGAAGAGAGAAAAAAACATGCGAAACAATCATTCAAACGAGAAAAAATAAATCAAGGACTGTCTATTATAAAAAAATCTTTTACCTATCTCTTATGTAAACTAATAATGATTTGGTAACCTTTTGAATTAAAACCTACATAGATATGTTTTCGCATTATTTTCATTAGAGTTAATCTACAATTATTGGTCTTATCGAATAGCTATGAAAGAACAAAAATGGATTTTATATTTTAAACGATCTATTTCCTTTTCAAGTCATATCGGCTTTCGATTATACAAACTAATTTATATGTCGACATGGACGTCTATATCAATTTTATAGAGGAAAAAACTGCCCTCTGCATGATTCAATACTCATGATTTATGTTTACCAATACGTGCAGACTTATAAACCAGAAAAATTTGAATTGAATATGAAATCATATAATTAAAAGACTGAGCAATAAATGTTTCCCTAGAAGGTTCTAAAATTTTAGCAAACAAGTCTTTTAAAATTTGAATTGAAAACTATTTTCATATTGATATTTCAACTAGACTAATTTATCTAAATAATTTCAGAATTTTTCGATGCCACAAATCCAAGATTTAAATATCCCTATTTTATGAACGCTACGTGGAAAAAATTCTGAAATTTTTTAGACAAATCAATTGAGACATTGATCTGAAAATAGTTTGTGATTTCAATATAAATATTTATTTACTAAAACATCAAAGTCTTGTAGGAAAAATTGTATGTTTTCGTCTATTCATCACATGACCTCATATATTCTTAAGGTTTTTTAGTATAAACATGTCATACTCATAGATAAAAAATAATTATTACTGCAACTAGTTACTTTCTTAAAAAATATTTTTGTTTTTTTTTCATACCTAAGGGCATACATAAAAAATTGATTGATTGCCAATATTGAAGATATTGAAACGAAAGCATCTAAAATAGTAAAATAAATTCATTGATAGGCACTTTTTTTTGGTTGTTATATTACGAACTCTAAGCAATTATTACTTATCGATAAATAACTTTAAAATGCAGAAAAAAAAGTTTGTAATAAAGGTGTCATACAGGTAAAAGAATATACTGTACAAAGAAAGAATTTTTTTCTTTTTCTATTGGTTATAAACAAGTCATGAAGTCAACTTGATAATAATGATGTCGCCTGTGAACAATCAGTTGATATAGGTTTGTTTAACATTCACAAATGAACTCTTTTTCTTTCTCAAATATAGTTGTATCTTCGTGTTTTAGAATTATATAATAAATGAAACTGTTTTTTAACTTAAAGAACAATTTCATTTTTTTTTGGATTGTTATATTTTTAAACTTTCTCAATGAAATCGATACATATATAAATATGTCAACAGTTAAATTAATATGACAAAAAACATAATAATAGTAGTTCAATTGAACTGTATCTGTTAATCATAAGACAACGAAAAGAAAGGAATAATAAGTACTACAGATTTTAACAAGCTTATCCATAATAGGCTGTAAACGTTTTCCGCTTGCTTGTGACAATGATTTCTTTTCATTTGCTTGTGCCCTTTTCTTTTAAATACTACTATCATGATGATATTTAAATGAAAGCACAAGATTATCTTTATAAGAAAGAAGGCAATGAAGGTGTGTATATCAAAATACCATGTCAATACGAAACATTTATTAATTTAAAACAATATATATATATCTGTCGAGAATAGTCAAACAGAAAAACATTAACATTGTGAATGAATTTGATGATCTAGTTGCAGAAAATTTATCAAGTTCGAACATATTGCTCAAACACAAACCTGCATCTAGAAACAATAACGGTTAGTTAAAGAGTCATATAAGATAATAACCAATGAGAAAATGCATACAGTAACTTACTGAAATGAATAAATCAAGACAGAAAAAGAAATTGTTATCTTTTTATGACTAACATAAGAGGTTCTATTGATATGTAGATACTTGTACTTTCTGCTAGAAAAAATATTAAAAAAAACAGGCAGTCTGTCAATATCAAGCAGCTAGTTCCGCTTGTGACAGGCTCAATGATAATGTTTTGCTTGCCATTGCATTGTTGATCACATTCACAATCACACTAACAGACATTGCATTGCATCTAAAGTTTGCAGAGTAATAACTCCCCGTTCGGTATGGATGTAGATCTGGGTGTGAGTCTTTCTTCGAACACATCCACACTCACATGCACTTGTACATTCACACCCATACTCACACTTGCCTACAATGACACTCTCGCTCAGCTTAAACTCTAGAAAGTAATTTCTCAAACGACACTCTGTGTGAGCAAGATGAAATACTGCAAAAATCGTTTATGTGGAATAAAACCGTTTTAATTGTGTAATCGGGTAGAATATGCTGTAATATATGTATAATAAAATTTTCCTACGTAGAGGGCAAGCCGTTTCCGAGAAACAGATATTTCTCTAAATAGATAGAGTTAGTGATCGGCCAACAAGATTCAAATGAAAAACACTTGTTTCTTTACGAAAAAAGTTCTAATAAGTTTTAAAGTTTTGGTTCCTAAGGAAAATAAGATGGACTAGGTTTCGAACAGATATAGAAACCTCAATTGCGCAGCTCACTAGTGACTCAGTCGGGAAGAAAAACGATTTTGCAATACGATTTGATCACGATTTATTTCATTGTTTTCATTTGTTATTTGAAAATTAGAAAAAAAAAAACTTATTATTTACAGTTATTAATTCTTAACTGTAAAGTTAAATAATTGAAAAGAATAGTGTACAAAAATTAAATTTGTTCGTTAGTATTATCAGATGAAACGTGTACGTGTTTTCTTTTATTCTTCTTCTTCTTGTTCTTTCTTTTCGTCTTGAATACTGTAGTTTCCGACGCATTCTTTTGATTTTCATCGAATATTTTCAATAATACAGGATAGATCAACCAAGCGAAACTAAATAGTCCTTGGAATCGTGTTGGTTGTTCTGTTTGTTGATCATTTGGAAACTTATTTTGTTTTTTCTTTTTATTTTTTTGATATTTATTGATATGTATTATCCACGGGTCATAAGTTATATGAAACCATGCTGATGCTTTTTTCTTGAGTTCGTCCGGTAATATCATTTCGTTATGAAATTGATATAAATCAAGCTGATTTTTCCATGTTAATTTTTTCGATATATCGGACCATTTAGCTGTTTCTTCTTGTGACTCATCCGTTAATTGATAGAACTCTTCCCAGAAGAGACGTAAATATCTAACAGAAAAAAAAAACGAACATGAAGAATTTTATAAATGTATATTGATCGAAATAAAAAGAAGCTGTTAGCACAATTTCTGTGGGATTAAAATGTGAAACATAATGTAATTGCTGTTGCTAATCACAGGCAGATTGCTTTCTTCCTTTGATTTTAGAACACCTCTCTTCTTCATCTTTTTATTTAATCATCCAGAGTTTGCAATAAGAAATAATTCATATATTATAAAGAAACGTTATTAATCTACAGTTTCTGAAAATATTTGAAGAACATTTGTCACGGTCTGTGGGATTTGTTCCAAAATTCTACCCTATAAATTCTTCAACATTGCTTTTATACCATGAACAGGGTCGCTGATTAAAGGTAGATGGAGGTAGATGGCTTTCTCTTCTCCTTAAAATATTCAACTATCTACCAAGTTTTTACATCTGCATGGCAACTTTGAACAAAACCAAGATTTTGAAAAATTATTTATCTTTCGCTAGCAGAAAGTGAAATAAAAATAAGTGGACAATGTCGTTGCAAGGTGAATAGGATTGAGGAACGACGATCTTGGGATTAGGTCGTATATGTTGTGGGAGAGATTAGATCACAATGATTTCCGTTCTTCTCTCTCTGTCTAATCAACACTTATAATACTTCAAGAATGAGTGCACTTTCTGCGATAATTTTTGAACTTTCTGTCATACATAAAATATTAACAGTCTTGTTTGTCTTTTACAAAAGTAATTATACGTACTTTTCTTGTATGACTCTATATGTATGTGTAATTTCATTTCGTAAATCGAAAATTTTAGTTTCTTTTGCATATTGTTTTGAAGTGAATTTAAGAATATAACCCGAAAGAACTTCAACTTCATGTTTGATACCATATTGTCGCATGATTCTTTTTATATCTCTATCATATTCACTTTTAATGATGCGAGCATCTTGCACGTATTCATCCTTTCCATTAATAACAAACGATTCATAAGGAAATATTGATGTAGCAAAGATTTCTTCTTCATTAATATTCAAATTACTACTGTAATATATAACTTTATCATAGAGTTTACCCAGAATTGTTTGTGAATCATATGTTGGTTTATCGTGCTTTTCCATATAATGTGGATACTTGGTAGGACGAAGTTCATGTGTAAGACGAGGTGCATTGACACCTTTTTTAGCGAAATCGACGGCCACACTATATAAAATAATAGTAACAGTTTTTCAAAGAAATTAATATAGGTGTGAGTGTAGCGGGAAATTAATAGACAAGTCAAAAATTTTTCTTCTTTACTATTTTTACTTTAGATAAATCATATGTGATCTGTTATCATATTATTTTTTTTATGTGTGTATATTCAATAAATATTTCCCTGCTCAGATTTTTGCATCTGTAATTACACATGGAATATGAAAATCGATATAATATCGTTATCTAACTTTAAGTAAAAAAGAAATGAATAAGAATGGATTTAAGTTTAAAAGTTCTGATTTTTCATAAATTAGTATCAGCCGCTAAATATATATATATATATATATATATCATATGGGCTATGTTTTACTGATTGACAATATGGCTTTGCTAAATGCAAATGAATATATCTCTAGATGCTGAAGTTCTAGAGCTAATTTTTATGTTTTTAAATATATGCTGAGTTACTCTAGATAACTTGAAGGACTCAATTCTCGAGTTTGTTATTTAGACAAGTTAACTACGTAGTATTTGTGAAGTGACACGTGAAACCCCGAGATCTTGATTGAACATGTTTCTAGTTAAAAAAAAAACTGTTGGCGCAAACCCTGCGGGATTAAAATGTGAAACACGATGTAGCTGTTGTTACTAGTCACATGAATGTGGCTTTCTTCGATATACCGTGGGACTCATTTAATCATCATTTTTAACTTAATTCTCTAGAACTACAACAAGAAAGTAGTTGATATATTCTTATGAGACTCTAGTGATATATAATCATAGATCGTGTATCAAAAGGTCTGTCACGGTCTCTGATGGTCTTTGGAGTCCCTCTGTCACGGTCTGTGATGGTCTCTGCAGTCCATCTCTCACGTTCTGTGCTGGTCTCTGAAGTCCATCTCTCGCGGTCTGTAATGGATTCGGAGGGCATCTGTGATGGGTACATGCCGTCTGTCACGATCTGTGCGGGGAAGGGAGTGGGTCCAAATTTCTACCCTATATACTTCAACACTCCTTTCAGATCGTGTTTCACAATATTATTTATTCAAACAATATTTTTGAATACTGAATGGTGTGTTTAGTAGACAGCTCTTCAAGTTAACAAAATCTCCATGGAAAGTTTTTGCCTGACCATGCTTATGTTCTCAGAAAACTGAATTTACTTATTGTTAATAGCGTGACAGAATGTGAATATACAAATATAAAATAATCTTGTAATCGAACGAAGAATTTCAAACTAATTCTAAATCGTACAAATCCTTCTTGTGAGATCTTAAGAGAGACTACAAAATACAAGGTTATGTTTCAAAACATGAGAATATCTATGGAGAATGAATTTTTTTAGAAACATTTTTACTTATATTTGGGTGTTACTGAAAATTCCACTATCAATGTCGTTCATAGTTTGAAATCTGGCAGGAAATTCTAAGATTTTTCTGTCATAATGTTAAAAATCGGTTTCCTAATTTCTTCAGAATTCAAAGCATCCACGTTTTTATGTCGATTCTCGATTAATAAACTTGTTCAAGAATATACATCTAGTAAAGAATTAAAGTCTAAAGAATGATAATTATGTCTAGTTTTGACCGATATCAGACATATAGACTCCGTTCGTTATATTAGTCATTTGTAAATAATTAAAATAAAAATTTTTGTATTCAAATGATGTAAATGTTGAGTGTATTTTTATTTTAACATACCTGTGCATTTTAGCTAACTGAAGGCATTTTTCATTTTTAGCACCATTTTCTAATTGATCAGCAAAAGCCAAATGACTGTTAGCAATAAGACCAAGACTAAAACAAATAATTGATGACTAATAAAGAATGAAAATTTTCTAATTTACTTGTCGGCTGCAATATATTCGCCAAAAAAATTACAAACATCTTTAATAGTATGTTTGACAAATGTTCCTAATTGTATTTTGTTAACTTCGTCTTCTTGATCTTGATAATCAAATGGATCTTCGTTTTTTTCAAATATTAAATCTGGATGACGACTTATCCAGAATGTATCTCCATCCAAGTCGCCACCAGACATTTCCTTAGGATGAGGACGAGGTTCTTGCATCGGAAAAACAATTACATTTTTTAATCCATACAAAGCAGGTACATCAACTGCTTTGAGTTTTCGAATATCACCTTTCAATAAAAAAAAGTATAAATAAATAAATATTATTTCATAAAGTAAACTATTATAATGATCATCTATGAAAATACATACCTGGATGAAAACATGGATTTCTTGTAACTATTACGGAACCTCGAATAATTTCTCTTGTTGAATTTTCTGTTTGTTGATGAGTATTATCTATTTGAATAAAAACTTCACCATAGTTAAGTGTTCGACTTTCATCAATGACTCCCAATAAAGACCATGAATTTGGTACACGAATTTTTGCTTTTGTTCGTAATTCTTTAACAAGAAATGCTTTAATAACAAAAAGAAGTTGTCGAACAAATGGATCTTTTCGTTCATGTAGCCTTTTTAAATATTCAATTAAAAATCCATGATATCCATTTCCACCGAATTCATTCAATTCTTTTAATGATTCACATGCTTTTTGCCAATTTTCTGTTAGCGCTTTTAATTGTTGTAACATATGGTCTTGCAAAGACATAAATGTTTGATCACCAATACCAAGTGATGATAGAAGAAGAATAATTTGTCGATTCAAATAGGCAACTGAAGGATTAAGTGATGTACGTACAACATCAATCGAAATATTTTCTTTTGCAGTAAACTTGTTCATAGATTTACGGAAGTGAACATATTCATCGGGATTAATAATCTTATCAGAAACATCCACACAGACCATGCCTGTAAGAAATTATTGTATATATATATATATATTTTTTTTTGTTGCTTTATCTTTCAAAATTATATTTCAATAAGTTATTATGATAAAAAATATTACCTTTATAACCTCCACAACGAATTTGAAATGCGCAAGGACAAATTTTTTCAGACAATTTCATTTCTTGTGTTAATCTTTTGGCAAATTCTGGTCTAATTATACCAATACCATCTGTGAAACAATGTTCACGTCTACATTCACTAGTTGTTTCGAATCGTATGAAATCGGATATTTCTCTAATTTGACGACTTTCAAGTTGAATACCTTTGATACTTGTCGAAAATGATTGTCCTAACTAGAAAAATAATAAATTCTCATAATATTAATATAAATGTTTAACTTTACTTACACGAGCAGCTAATTTGGCTACAGGACTAACATTTCGAAAATCACCCATCCATGCACGAATAGTATTAACTGTAGTACCATCATCAGCTGTAGCAAACATCCAACAAGAATGTTCACGTAATTGTGAACTTGAAAAAGCTAAAAAGTCATAATTTCGATCACATATATTAACTCCTTTTATCAAGATTTTTTTGATACGCTCATAAATCTTAGTCATATTATCATTGTAATTACGTAATACACGATAGTCTGTGTAAAAAAAGACATTAGAATACAAAAATTTGAATTAATTTTATTAGATCAATCATTTTACCTTCATCTCGAAACGTTACACGAAGAAATCGATTTTGATGTTGTACGAAACGACGTGTAACAGCACATTTTTCTTCCCGATAGGGTCCTTCATAAAGAACTGTTGATGGTGTGATGTATATCTTACGCATTAAAAATGGATCAGCATTTGTAGTACGTAATTCAAGTTTTGTAACATAAATTCCTGTTGTTTTTGTTCTACAAAGTTCAAATCTTTTGAGTAATTGCTCAAATGCAGAAATGAGTAGACGACTAAATGTTCCAAGATGAGACTTTGTTGGTGCTGACAAAAATTTTTTCATGTCTGTCGTAATTGATGCTATTTCTATATTTTCAAAATCGACTAATTTTCCAGTAGTACATGAACGAATATTTTGAGAAATAAATGAATTATCATTATTATTCGAAAGATCTTCAGTAGTAGTTATCACTTGGTTTTCTTGTTGTTCTGTTGATTCTTCTTCATCATCTTTACAATTCCAATCTTCGTCTTCATTATCACAAGTTGTAGCAAACCATCGAGGAGCAAATTCAACAATTTTATCTATAAACAATATGAAAATAAATTTTGTAAAACTGAAATAAATTTTTTTTTTCTTTTTAAATTTACCTGTTAGAGCAATTAATGTATTAATTGTACATATCTTTAAAATATGTTCAGCGTGTTCATCAACAATTAAATCATTAACTGTAATGATATGTTTTGATATAAGTTTCATAATTTCAAATTTTGTTTCAAAAGGATATGATGGCCATCGACAATTAAGAAAATTATTTACATTCGCTTGATTTTGTTCTATCCATTCATCGTTAGATATTAATGAAACGGATTCGAGATTTTTTCTTGCAGCTTCTACCGTTTTAATTAACTGCATGATATTGAATTCAGAAAATTGTCGTGGTGATAAATTATAACGACGTAAAACTTTGAATAATTTTACATAATCATCACGTAAATTTAGTGAAGATAATTTAAAGATCCATGCATTGGCATGACCAATAAGTCCATAGCCAGGTAGACGATTCTCATTCGAGCCATCACATTTTGGGTGATTTTGATTTCTTATTTCTAAAATGATTGGAGGTCGTTTGATTTCAATGAGTAAAAACACTTCATCATGATTGATTAATACTGGAGTTATCTTTCGAGCTTTCAAACTACAATACAAAAAATAGTTTTAAAACAAATGATATTATTTGAAACTTTCTTTTCAATCTATTTTTAATAGGATATAAGAAAAAAAAATTATAAATTAATGTTCAGAATCGTTTATTGAAATCAATAGAACTTACTCTCGAAAGTTCCATTCAAATTTCAGTTGAGTAGTGACAACAGAATCATCCATCACCATCATGTCTAACTCGCCGATAATAGATAGTTTTTTCTTATCACTATCGATATTCAATTGAAAACTTTTACATTTATCAATTAGAAGACGATGAGCAATGATGCCGAATCGGTCAACATTAGAAACAATGCCGTTTGCTGTTGGTATGTTTTGCATCGCTGTTTCTGTAATTAGTGTTCCGTAATGAATATTTGTAATTTTAACACTAGTACTTGTAGCTGCACCGATGTTTGTTATCATAGTAGATAAAATAGTGGTAGCTTGTTGAGAAGGTCGATTAGTACGTTTGATATCTAATTTTTTGCCATTAAAAATAAAGGCTGCTTTGTTCCTTTCACTTCTATATAGAACTTCAACCGCTATTGGAATAGAATCAAAGCGAATAAAAGCATAACGAGCACCTTTCTAAAAATAATTTATAACTTTCAGTATCAACAATAAGTAAAACCAAGTATTTATTCCTACCCTATTATTTTTCAACTCAACATAACTAACACCATAGCCATGTTCGATGAACCAATTTTTAAGATTATGCCATTTCGTGTCCGAAGGTATATTACCAACATAGAGTTGAGGAGTTGATAAAGATGTTATTCCAGATTCATCAATTGTTGGATCAATTGCTACACAATATTTTCCTGTGCTTCCTATTTGGCGAGTGAGTGGTGGAGCTGTCAAATACGATTGAATAGAATCATTAAGAAATGGTATAGATAAAATTGAATTAGTTGAACAGCGAGGTTCAGAATGCATGGCCAAATGAATAGAATAATTTAAAGGAATATCGATTAAAGGAATTTCGAATTCATCAGATACAACTTCTCCTAATATAATATTTCCTAATGATGTAAAATGGTGAGTGTCGTCGAAATCACAATAATTGTCATAATTATTATCATCATGCATGTCAATCATTCGATCATCGATAATATCATCTTCCATAGAATCATCAGATGAATTACTTTCGAATTCCGATTCGGATGTTGACATTTTTTCAACTCTTTCAGTGAATATAATACCTGATGAAAGATCTTCTTTAGAAGAATTTATTTGACAAACTTTAAACTAAAATAAATCAAGTCAATTAAGAACTATCTAATCAAGTATTGATAAGTAATTGTTCAGATTGTTTTTAAAATCTCACCAATTAAATAGCATTTGACTATTTTGACAATTGGAGAAAAATCTATTTTTTCCCAGTGATGATGACTAATCACACACTTCAAACCTTATTTGCATTCAATCTCGTGTTGCATATATGATACTCAGCAAAATTTTTTCTTCTGCATTACTTTCTAAAATTCTCTTTAATTTGAAATAAATAAACACATTGAAGATGACTTCAAATAATAGAGAAAAAAGTATTAAAAACAGACACATATGTAGGACAGGTAAACATTAATAATTGAATTTTTGAATACAAAGAAAGAGAAATGAAAAATAAAACGATTGTTCGAACATATTTTTCTTTCTGTTAAGAAAGATAATTTTCTGTAGAAGATTTGTAATATATGTGAATATGATGTCATGAAGTCAAAGTAGAATATAAATTTTTCAACCAATGATAAATTTTTTTAAGAGATTACTTAATAATATAAATCCCATGAAAATATTCAATAAATCTTTCGGTAAGTTTCAACAATATTTATTACATTTTAAACGTATTTATTTTGTTTTTGAAAAACACTGTGCAAATTCATACTATATCATTTTGAATCCTTTTATTATAAGATATATTTTTGTTATTTTTTAAACGTTATTTTCGTTATATTTTTTCTATTACCCAGGTCAAACAGATACGAACGTAGACAACTATATACGGAGACTTATGATGATTGGCATGATGTCCTCATGTGATCGTATATTATCCTGTCATATACGATCTCCCTTTCTCTTCGTCGATGTTCCGTATATGAGACCATGTAATTTGGTCGTATGCGTAGAAATACAGAACATGTACGATTATTTCCGAGTATATAAAAACCCCATCTTCTTCGATGTGAGAAGAGAATAAAAATCCAAGATAAAAATCTGACATTTATATACGTCGTATGTTATCATGTATCCATATTATTCTACAAAGTTTTTTGATTGTTTTATATTGAGACAACCATGAAGTCATTAGTGTTCGACGAGCATGAAAACTTGTTTATTAGATTTTAATAGTATTTTTCTATTATGTATATTCACTTCTCATGAATCTATCAATCTATGAATGAGACCAAGATACAAAAATAGATAAGAAATTTACAACAACAGAAAAACAACACATATTTTCTTGTAAATATAAAAAAAGCTTTATAAAGGTCACAACATGAAATCAAGGTTATTACATCCATTGTACCGAAAAAAAGATTAACTGCGATTCTAGAGACAAAAGATGTCTTATCAAAATTATTATAAAACTTCTATCGAGAAAAGTTTAAGTAAAAATTGACTTCATAATTAATACTCTACATATCAAAATAAAAACAAAAGCTCAATATGATTGTCAAACATCAATATTGTCTTTATATAGAGGCTATGCTAATGATTTATCTTATTATAAATAAGTATAAAAAAAAACATGATTTAGCAGATGTCGCGATTCATCACTAAATACTTTAACATTCCTCAATATCAGTCTATAAACTCTAATATTTTATTGGACGAAATACTTCATGGACTAGGGGTGTTTACCGAAGGTGAATGTGTACAATTCATTCTTTTTGTCTTGGATTCCTATCAATTATAGTACGTACATATTTCAGACCTAAATAAAAGGAGAAGAACAAAATGCCGATTGCTACTCGTTCAATTCTTCGTGTAATAAATTCAGCAATTCGAACGGTATTTTCATTAACATTGATTTAAATAATGAACTTGTTTTTTTTTTTTATCTATTCATAAAGAATCATCTTGTGGGCTTACAATCGAAATGTTATGCATCAACACAAACAACAGTATGTTTATTTTATTTCTTTTTTTTTTTATCATTTTAAATAATCGTTTCTTTTTTATGTTTATAGGATTTAAAGGAAGTTTTACGTGAACTTATTCCAAAAGAACAAAAACGTGTAGCTGCATTTAAAGCTGAACATAAGGATACGGTTATTGGTCAAGTCAATATTGATATGGTAAAATAAATTTTTTTTTTTTTGTTTTTTCTTAAAAATCATTTTTTATGATACATATTTAAGATTTATGGTGGCATGCGTGATATTAAAGGTCTTGTTTATGAAACATCACTATTAGATGCCAATGAAGGTATTCGTTTTCGTGGTAAAACTATCGACGACTGTCAAAGTCATTTACCAAGAGCAAAAGGTGGCGAAGAACCACTACCTGAAGGTCTCTTTTGGTTGTTAGTTACATCACAAATGCCAACTGAAGAACAAGTAATTATCTATATATAAATAATATGACAAAAAAAAATATATTAGTTTATTTGTTTTTTTTATTAAAGGTTGATTGGGTTACTCGTGAATGGAATAATCGTGCTGATATACCTCAACATGTTGTGACAATGTTAAATAATTTTCCAGCCCAACTTCATCCAATGTCACAACTTAGCGCTGCTGTTACTGTTCTTAATCTTGGTTCAAAATTTGCAAAAGCTTATTCGGATAATGTACCGAAATCGAAATATTGGGAGGTTTGTATATAATTTTAAAAAAATTTTGATTACAAGAATTTTTTTATTTTTGTAGTATACTTATGAAGATGCAATGGATTTAATTGCTAAATTACCAACAATTGCTGCTATTATCTATCGAAATTTATATCGTGATGGTACAGCTGTTGGTGCTATTGATTCAAAAAAAGATTGGACATGGAATTTTGCAACTATGTTAGGTTATGACAATAAATATTTTGTTGATTTACTTCGACTCTATTTAACAATTCATAGGTAAGGATTAGTAATGAGCAAGACTAGTAATTTTTGGTCTGGATCAAAAAAAAATATGTTATCCTAGTCTCACTCTCGATAAAAAAATAGATCTAATCTCGAGACTGGGATCATCCTGCCCATATGTAGTAAAGCTAAAATATATTAAAGATATTTATAATATATATATGTTTTTTTTTGTGCGAATATTTAGTGATCATGAAGGTGGTAATGTAAGTGCACATACAAGTCATCTTGTTGGTAGTGCTCTTTCGGATCCATATTTATCATTTGCTGCTGCTATGAATGGTCTTGCTGGTCCACTTCATGGTCTTGCAAATCAAGAAGTATTAATTTGGATAACAAAATTAGTTGAAAAGCTAGGTGAAACGCCAACTGATGAACAAATTAAACAATATGTTCTTGATACACTTAAAACAAGTGTTGTACCTGGTTTTGGACACGCTGTTTTACGTAAAACTGATCCACGTTATACATGTCAACGTGATTTTGCTCTTAAACATCTACCAAATGATAATATGTTTAAAATTGTTTCACAACTCTTTAAAGTTGTACCACCAATACTTGGTGACATTGGTAAAATTAAAAACCCATGGCCAAATGTTGATGCACATTCAGGTGTTCTTCTTCGAGTAAGTTTATTATTGTATTATGTAAATATTTTATATTATTGATGGGCTCTGTTTTTTTTTTATTATTAGTATTTTGGTATGAAAGAAATGAGTTTTTATACTGTTTTATTCGGTGTTTCACGTGCACTTGGTGTACTTTCTCAAATGATATGGTCACGAGCTTTAGGATTTCCATTGGAACGACCCAAATCAGAAACAACTGACAGTCTTATGGCTCTTGTAGCTTCAAAAAAGAAAGCTGCTGATGCTGATGCCACTACTAGAGCAAAAGCTTAGACAACTCTAAATAAACTTAGACTTGAAAAATAAATTCGACCAAATTATGCGCATGTGTGTTTGTGTGTGTGTTATCATACAGAACCAATATATTTATTTTTCATTCTCGCCACATCTTTTTCCTCTTGAATACCATGGATTATATAAACTTTTCATTACTACAAATAGTTATTCATTCTTTTTGGTCGTATTGCTATTACTTTAGATTCAATAAAAAAACTCCAAAAAAATATGGAAAAATAAAAAAAAAAATTCTTTTATTTTAACTTCATCAATTATTTAACATAAAATCAAGTAATACATAATAATAGATTAATTCTTCGAATATCAATAATAATGATAGTAAAGAATTTACAGATCGAAATAAATATAAGTGAAATATGTCATTGAATTTTTGATATTATCTATATTCAATTATAATAATGAAAATACCGTACTATGTAAAAGTAATAGCATAAACGATTATCTTCATATTTTCTTTTTTCGTAGACACTATTCTCGAAAGAAAATATTTTTAAGCAGCTGATAGGAAATTTTCTCTTCTTTCGAACTATATATAACTTATTTTTATTAGACATACATAGAACAGAACGAGAAACAATATAGATATCCTAAAAATAATTTTGTACTTTTTGTATATACTACACAATAACGACGTAAAATGTCGACTACTTTACTTTTGCTTTAAGCACATGTCTACAACGATAACTTTTTTATTTGTTGCTAGAAAATTTTCTTCTCTTTCGAATATTGTCTGATTGATTTTTTTTGTCTCGCATTCTTAAATGAAAACAGACAAGCAAAAAAAAGAGAAACATTCGCACAATATATTTTAAGTCATTATTTTGAACTCATCAATGGTCTCAATTCAATAGTTGTGGTAAAGTGACAGTTAATTTGTTTCTCTTTTCTGTTGCATAGAGATCTTATAAAAATAAGTTATATGCAATCCAAAAGAGTAGAAAAAGTTCTATGTTTTAGTCAAAAAGATTTTCTTTCAATATTCTCTTTTATTCAAGAGAAATGGAGAACAACATTTTGTGATATTACATTGTGCATCATTTGTTAGATGTAATTGATATGTAACATGCATGCAAGATGCTACGATATTTGATTTCAATGACGTATTATTATGTAAAGCTCAAAGAAAATCATTTTGAATATATAATCGATTCATTTCCTTTTTTATTAAATAGATTTGTGTTTGAGTGAAAACAATGTGTATTTACTAACTCTTTGATTTATTATATTCTTATTTGAGAGAATGCCATTTATATTTGTCTGTTTTGCTAATCAGAGTTCGAAACTGAAAAGATGAGTATTTGTCAATTATACAAGTTGGTTTTGATTCGATTTTGTTGAATAATCTGGTTTTTATTAGACAAATCATCAAGCGATGTTTTCTCTATGACTATGTCGTCACTTTTGCTAAACGTCCTAGAATAAAAGGTCGTCCATAAGAAAAATTTCACAAAATATAATAGAATAATATGGGTTTTCTAAAAGCTTTTTGTTTCGAAAATCCATTGAAAAAATATGAATCTCCAATAATTGAAGGCCATAATTTTTTATTCTGGGAGGATGGGGCGAAGTAGGGGAGCGTATTTAATTGTTATTTGATGAAATGGTAACATCAGATTGATAACTTTGACATTTGTCGATGTTGAATGAAGTTAAGATAAGGCTAACCTATCGTTAGTTGATTGGTCTATGTGTGTCCTATATTGATAAAAATAATTCATTTGATGTTTGAATTTGTTTCATATAATGTTTAGACTCTGAATTATATAGTATCACTAATAAAGTTGTACTAAAAATAATTATAGATATTCAAGCAAATTTATAAGGTCATTACTTGATCATCATTTGATATAATTAAACTAGTACTGCTCCCATAAATACCATTATTTATATTTAAAATTTTCTTAAAAGGTACTGATGGAATATTTTCATTATTAGAATTAAAATAGTCTTGTGCATATTTTTTCGTAGGATTTATCGGTCTGCATTGTTCATGATTACTCATTAATTTATGATTTAATTGTTCATAATGAGTTGTATTTGATACATTATTTTTATGCATACGATAAGCTTCAGCTGCAACAGCAGCAATATGTGGTGCAGTTATACGTCGTACTGTGACTCGATACGAGGAACGATTAAACGATGTTTCCTTTTTCTTACTCTTTTTGAAATAAGAATGTTTATTAAATGAAGAATTATAGATTAAAGGCATACAAGACCATGGTTGAGCTGTCATCGAAGGCTTGAAATGATTTCCAGAAATTATGTTTGATGAATGAGAGCATGAATATGCAGATGGATACGTATATAATGCTTGTTGATAAAAATTTTAAGAGGAAAAAAAAAATTAATACAATATTTTATACAATTTGATAATATTGACATAAGTATACCTGCTAGAAAACAAATACCATTACATTTTGTCCTTGATTTAGGTGTGTCAATAGTATGAGTACAAGTGAAATTTTTATTATTTTGAGTGTTGATTGAATTATAATGGCATGATGAGTTGAAATTATCTTGATACATTTCGTATGTTATTTTAATGTTTGAAAAATTCTTTAAATGAATTTGATTTATAGTTACATTTTGATATTCTAATATCGTTTCGATATTAATTACATAAACAAAAAAAAATACAATTATTCGTTTTCTTGGTTGCGCTAATTTTTTTTAACGTCTTTATATTTTTACAAAAATTATTAAATCGTAAAAAAAAACAAAGTGAATTACATTATATTTACAAATATTTTATCATAGATAAGCAAAACTTCAAAAATAAAAATAATGTCATTTTAAGTTTTTGGACGAATATTGAAAACACCTAGAACATTTTGATCTTAACTATTAATAATTTGATCACTCGGTTCAACAAGGATAGTATTAGGATTTTTTTGAATCAACTTGCCATTATAATGTATCGTTGACAGTAATATTATAATTTGATTTTTGATACTGTAGAGATGATACTAACATTTTCGTCGGTTGTTTTAATAAATTGCATTGTTTGTGGTTTATCAGCAACAGCACGAGCATATACACGTGATAACAGTTCTATTGATGTTTAATCATAATAAAAATCTCCCCAAAATTCCCATAGTTGTAAAAATGCATTAGCCGCACCTAAATCTAAACCAAATTGTTCATCACATGATGGTGAATTATTACATCCATCGAATTCAGTTAAAAATGCTAAACCACCTATTGTGCAAGATCAATATGAACCAAACGAACCAGTGCTGGTTCTTCAATATCATCACAAAGTACTCGATCAAATAGTGGTATTGTACTATTGCCTGGTACAGGTACAATAGATAAAATTGTACAATAATAATAATGATAAGAAAGAATACTTCGATTACGATAATCATTATCATTAAGTACATGAGTAAATCCAATACTGAAATCTTTACCATTTAATCGAAAAAAATAAGAGTATCATCATCGACTGAACGACTAGCTTTAGTCTTTTTTTTCGTAAAATGGTTGTAAATTTGTAGCTTCAGCAATATCTTGTGAAAGAAAAAATGGATTCTCTACATCATTTTGCAGCTCATAGTTCATTGATAATTTCATATCTGAATACAAGCAAAAAAATAACAAAACTACGACAGATAGTTGATCAGAAATATGAAATAGCTGTTCACTGTAGAGCATTCGAATATTTTTTTTACAAATTGAAGCTGCCAAATAAGTTATTTATATATAATACAATCAATTTTGGTAGATTTTCAACAAAATTTTGGTTTAAGGAAATTCTCTGAATAGAAAATTAGCACCATGATCAATTCGTACATGATCTGATTCATCAATAACAAATGTATGATTAACATGAACATTAGCCGAACCAACAGAATTTGTAATAAATAAAGAAAAATAACTCAATAACGATACACCTAATTGTTCCATTTCGAAAGCTAGATAATGCCAATATATATCTGGCGTGTTTGTTTCTTTTTTAATATTGAAGATAAAAGCATAAAGTGCGCTACCTAGTTTTTCTTGTCTATTTTACCAAAACAAAGATCTCCTTGACAATATATTGAAGAAATTTTTTATTTTCTTATATTTTCTTATTGGTGTCTTTTTTTTAAAAATTCAATATGATTAAATAAGAAAATTTAATATGAATTCAATAAAAAAACATTCTATTCAACAGAATCCTGAAGATGATTTACAATCTGAATCAACTATTCAAATTGAATTTAGTGAATCTATTGTAGAAAGATTTTCGACAACAAATGATAATAAGAAAAATTCTTCTTCATCATTTCAACGATATTTATCCAGAAAAAGATGTTCATCTAGAGAAAGTCAACGAACAATAAATGAAGAAGACAATATGAATAAGAAACAACGAAATCATACTGATCATTTAGCTTTTTCTGAAAATGCTCGAAAAGAACAAATTATTTCGTTATCGGAATCAAATGAATCGCAATGTGCTCGAACTAATTTATATTCCAAAAATGGTAAGATCATATTTCAACGAACAAAAAAACAATCATTTGATTCATCATTGTCTTGTAATATAATATCAGGTCCCTAGCAAATATACTGAGCTCAAAGTATACTGCTACTAGTATGTCACAGGAACCATTGAGTACTTTATAACTTTGTAGTACTTGACTACAAAATATTTCTAAATATTCAATCTAATAATTTATTGAAAAATTTTTCATAGAACGCTATAGAAACTAAGCAAATACTTGGTAAATATACATATGTTGACGAGGAAATATATCTAACTGTAGGACACTGTTTGTCTTCATATTGTGGCTAAGCGTCGGATCTTGGTGGGAGTAAGGAAATCCTGAAAGGATTCGAGTCAATGTTCTTCTGATGAAATTTTTATTGAGAGCATGCCATTTTCGAAAAATTCAAAACCACTAATGAATGGCCCTACAGAGGCTTTGTCTAGATATCATTTCTTTTGCAACAAAGACATTATTTGATTTGCTTTAGATTTATTATCCTAAATGTCTACTTTGTCTTAGAATTTATTTGTAAAAAATCTGTGAGTGTTCAAAATGATAGCGAAAAGCATTTTAATTGGTTGAAAGACTTTATGCGACAATCTCTGGATACTATACGTGATACTGTTGTACAAGCTTGTCTAACAGCTATATCTGCTCGACCAATAATTTCATTGAATTCAAATATTCCTACACAAGATCATAATGTAAATAATCATTTAACTGATCTTATTCAAAGTGAACATTCTCTAAGATTACAAAATACAATTGATCATTGGCAAAATTATCAATTACAAATTCCATCTGTAATACGAAAGAAAAATAATTCTTTATTATATCATCATAGATTAGATAATGATGATAATGATGATATTAATAGAAAACAACGAATTCATCATCGAGCACGTACAAGTTCGTATCCAATGTATAAAAATGTATTACGAACATTAGTTAATGATATTCAAGTACCATGGTCATATGAATGGCCACAATATAAACCGACTATATTTACTGCTGACGAAGTCTATATCAATCCAGGTGCAGATCCTGGTATGAATAAAATTAAAAGAGAAAAAACAAATAATTTTGATGAATTTTAAAAATTTTTAGATCTACTCAAATCATCATCATCAATATCTCTTCATTTTAATACAATTGATGGTGCTGTCGATCGTCGTAGTGTTTATCAACATTATCATATACGTGAACATGATGGTCTTCCATTAAATCCAATCGGTCGTACTGGTTTACAAGGACGTGGTATACTTCTTCGATGGGGACCAAATATATATCATTATATAATGATATGTCGATGGAAACGGGATATTTATGGAAATAATCTTTTACATGCATCGAATGGAAAAAGAATTCTCGAAATTCTTTTAGAAATACAAACTGATGGTTATGCAACGCATGATTTTATTTTAACTGGTGGTTTACGTATGATAGGTAGTCGATTTCCTCCTCAATTACAAGATCGTTTAAAACGTTTTATTATTCATACAGGTTAGATTAAATTTATGAGCAATCGAAAAGTTTTTAGACAAGATGTTTGATGATTTTGACTTGCTTGAAAGTATTTCAGACGAGCTAAAATTCTTTTAGAGCTGTCAATTCTCTACAAAATGTGCTATTAAACTAAGGTGTAGTTTTTACTCAAATGAGGTAAGAGGTATTTTTTCAAGAGTTCCTGTCAATTTAAGATGGTTGTCAAATTTTTGAAAAAAATGAGTATTTAGGAAAAAACAAAAAATTGATGTACCTTGTGGAAAGACGAGAAAACTCAAACAGTGCATTTTGTAGGATAGTTTTTGATATAAAAGCTGATGTATAAATGAAGATCTCAACTTTTAATTTCGAATCACAATAGTGAAAATAGAAAAAAAATGTCAGTCCAAACTAATTTTTTTGAGGTTCTCAAAGATTAGTTTATTACTTTGAACACAAAATTCTGATCCTAACTGATACATTTTAATATTTTCTAGCACGTCAAAAATGAATAAATATCTTGTCTAACCATTTTTTGAAAAATTAATTATGAATGAAATTGTTTTCTTATGATTTCAATATCATATTAGGTACAATATTAAATAATAGATACAAAATTTCATCATCTCTCAATGCATTAAATCATTTATTTGAACAAAATCCAATACCATGGAAAGGTGCTTATTTTGATGATGCTCGTAATACAGATAATGCTTGGATTGAATTATCAATTGAATATTTATTAGATGATGATCATCAATTAACATCATGTATACCATATCTTCATAATCAACAACTTCAATATCTTGAACAACCACGTTTTATTTGGAAAGATGTCGAAAATACAATTGATATTGGACCACGAACTCATTATCGTCTTATAAGAAATTTAGCTTATAAACTCGATGCATATTTTTGAAGAAAAAGAAAAAGAAGATACTTTTTTTTTTAATATCACTAACTTTTAATTTTACAGATGTAATTTTTAAATTTTAATAAAAAATTGCAATTAAACAAAAGAAAAAAAAGAACCAGAAAAGAAAATCTAATGTTTCATTTGATATCATCATATTTTCCTCCACGTCCTTGTTTATTTTCAACAAAATGTTTTGCACCTGGTATTGATTCACGTTCAATTAATTTTATTCCATGTTCATATTCATGTTTAAGACTATTATCAATTGTATTCGATACAGAAAAATATGCTGACATTCGATCAGTATTCATACATTCATATGGAAATCGAAGTATATCTTTTGCAAGTTGAATTGCTTCTGATAAACATTGACCATCAGGTACAAGACGATTAATTAATCCAATATGAAATGCTTCTTGAGCATTTACAGTTCGACCTGTTAAAATTAAATCAAGTGCTCGTGAAAGACCAATCAAATGTGGTAAACGAACAGTACCACCATCAATAAGTGGAACACCAAAACGACGACATAATACACCATATTTTGATGATTGTTCACCAACACGCATATCAGCTAGCAGTGATAATTCTAGACCACCCGCAACACATGGTCCAGCAATAGCAGCTATTAATGGTTTTTTTAAATTCATGCGACTTGGTCCCATTGGTCCAGGTTTATCTTTTTCATAATTCATTGAAAATGAAGTATTTGCTAAAGCAACTTCACTTAAATCATAACCAGCACAAAATGCTGAACCACCTTCACCATATAAAATAGCTAAACGAACTGAATCATCTTTTTCAAATTGTTGGAATGCTGAAAAAAGTTGTAGGCCTGTAGAATGATTAACACAATTTCTTTTCGATGGACGATTTATTCCAATAAGACGTATTGATGGTGTATCATCAACATGACTAATCTTAATAGTAGTTGTATTTGATGATGAATGACGAATATTAGATATTATAGTATTAAATTTCCGATAAATATATGATGAACATAATATTCGATGAGTATACATTTTCTAATAAATTTTATTTGTAGAATTTCTTAAACAAAATAATAAAGAAAGAAAACGAGGAAAATAGTCAATCTGATTTTATTTTCATTTTTTTTTCTAAATAATTACATAGAATAAAAGTCAAAAACAAAAAACAAAGATCGATCTCGGTTCTTTTCTTATTTTGTATACAAAGAATATTACAACAATAGTTAAGACAACAAAAATAAATCATCAAACAAAGAAACTCTCTTAGTTATAAAATACAAAATGCAATAATCATTTTTGAAATATTTTTAATGTTTGATTAAATCCTCGTATTTCTTCATCAGTAGCTGTTTGAAAAAATGGTGAAACACCTTGTTGTGCAGCAGTTAACGTATCACCAAGTGTTTCATCTAATATATTATTGGCACTTGCTGGTAATTCGTTAGTATGCTGCCGCCAGTGAGATGCTTGAGATGGTGGTATTGATGAATAACCCATTCCTCGTCGATCAGTTGGTGCATTAGCCCAATGACCATCATTAAAAACGTCATGACGTTGTCGTTTCATTGGTGGACCACCACCACCACGAGTATCATAATCAGATGGTACACTATTTCGAGAATAATCGTCGAGTATTGAAGGTACTCCATGTGAAAAGCTTGCTGGTGGCGGAGGTGCCTGAGACTAGAATTTTATATCATCGGATATGAAACAAAAATATTATAAATACATTAAATGCTTACATAAAAAGGATCATCTTGCTCCATCGAACCTAAAATAAATTCACATAATCTTTTGAATGGTAGAAACTACGCATGAAATTTATGAAAAAGACTTCCTCGTGAATAATTAAGAACCTCTACGTTCTTCTGCTCACTTTTCTATATTTTTGAACAAGAGTTTATTAGAAAATTTTGAAACTTTCTGAGTAGAACAAAAGATGTTCGAAACTAAACAATCTTTAAATGCTTTCTTTTTTGGCAAGATCAAGACCGAAAAAGTCAAAACTCATCTCCTAATTGCTCCGCTTTATTATGGGGAAACTTGGTTTTTCGGATCTTCGCTCTTGAAATATCGAAATTCTAGTTTCGGATTTCGACTTCAAACTCTGTACCACGAAATTTCCCAGCGAGATTAGTTCATTGCAACAAGTTGTAACATTTCTAATATCTTCTATCTTGCAATATGAAATATTCGAAATTCTTCCATATGGCAAAATTAAATTTTATTCACATATTTACACATTCGACAAGAAAATACTAAAAAAAAGCTAACACTTGCAGACTCAACTAATCTCACCAAGACTTTTGTTCACGTAAATCTTAAAGTTAAAACTCGAAAATCGACTTGTCACGTGATTTGAGGGAAACCACAGCTTTTTTTGTTGAAAAAGTCAATGAAATTTCGATATCTCGAGAACGAAGGGCCAAAATACCAAACTACTTCAGACTTTTCTATTATTCTCTAGCACTTATCAACTAAACATCGTCTTGGCCAAAAAGCGGTTTGACATTTGGAGAGATTCTTTCATCATTTACAATATTTCTGATGGAATTGAAATACGTTTTGTTATAGACCCTTCCATTTGGATCAATAGATCAAAATACTAAGCGTATCTCTAACAAAAAAAAACATGTTTAAAATACAAACAAAGTAGACACCCTATACACTTTCTACTATAAGTGGAAGAAAATTTCAGTTCAATCAGATGTACTGTGGTTAAGAAACAGGGGGCGAGATTCTCAATTGTATTTTGTCAAGAAACTCATTTTTCAAAAACAGCGAAATAATGTTCTCGTCGTAATGTTTATCAGCAAAAATTTTCCATCCTTTTCGGTTTGTGAACTTTTATAATTATATGTTATTTATTGAACAACGCTCGATAGATAAAGGAGACTTCGAAGCGGAAAAAAAGAGTAGATCAAAATGAAAAATCTAAATATTTTCGGTTAGTGAAGAAAGGAGATTCTCATACTATTTTTTCAATATAAAACTGAATCAACGTTTAATCAAAAGAAATCTACTCACACAAGCAGACAAGATTTTATAATTTTTAACGCTCAATGCTCCTTACACAAATATAATTTCTCGAAATGCATTGCTGACGATGTGAAGTCACAGAGTAGACTGCTTAAATGTTTGATTTAGTTATGTTCTTGACAGTACCATACTGTGTTTTTAAAAATAAGTCTTATGAGTTAATATCGCATGCATATCTTAACAACATTTTTCCTACTGTGATAAGAGTACATTTTGATGTCTCATAAAAAACGCAATAAAGGTTGATTTTATGTCCAGAAAGAATAAAAAGTAGATTTATAATCAGCGGACTTATTTATAAAAGAAAGAACGATAAAAAGAGTATATTCACTTACGGAACAGTTAATAAAGGAAATGGTTAAAGTGAAAAAATACCTCATTTTATACTTTCTCCTCATCTTTCAAATTTCTGATCATAGTGACAATATGAGCAAGATGTGCAACTAAAACTATTTTTTATATTCAATCTTTCTCCAATTTATTTTTTTTATTCAGGGCCCACGCTCATAGACTTTTACTCGTCTATATACCTTTTTCTCTTATATTCATATTTATGATAATCAGCTGTGGAAGTGAGAAAAAAAGAGAAAACAATTCCATGAGTACAGTTTGTATTTGAATTTAAATCTCTTTTCTTGCTCTTGTACTTGAAATGGGCTCTTCTTCAGTTATAGTGAAAAGCCTATAACAAACATGAAACTTGATGCTTAGTCACGTGTCTTTTTCGAAATGATTAACGTAACTCTTATTCTCAATTTGACTATTTTTTTTTTATGTAATATCTTCTACGTTGTTTGTTTTTTATTTTTAAACTTAGCGAAACATCTTTTCTAAGGCTTCTTTTTTTGTTTTGATAAACAAATCAATAAAGAAATAGATAGGATACATAGACATTTATATAATTAAAAGATATATAAATAAATCGACAAATAGATAAGGATGCTAGTATAAGGATAGCTAAATAGATTTACCCAAACAATGTACAATGTATCGAATAAAAAAATATGGAAGAAAAACATTGTTATCTATCTTTACCATGGATTTGACTTATTTGCTTTGGTGATATTTTCATGGTTTGACATTTTATCTGTCAATCAAATTTATGTTTAGCAACTATCTAGTTAAATAATTACACAGTTGAAAGGGATCATCAAACATTCAATGAAATAGATATCTAGAGAAAAAATTAGATAGATAGTTAATGTTTACTGTAGGGTCAATTGGCAGCGAGCATCTTCTGAACAATTATAAAACACCAAGAATTAACGGTTTATGATTTCTCAATTATGTCTACAATCGACAGAAAACTATGTTACTTTTCTTATGGAAAACACAGGGAACTGTACAGATGATTTCGATATGACCCAGATAAAAATATATTTCCCATGTCAATACAATGTTTAGAAAGATTTCTTATAGTTTCAAATTTTGAAAAATCATAATGAATGGTTTCTAATCATGTCTTTATAGTCTCTTGGACGAGAATAATTATCCATCTCTGTCTTATGTTGTTTGCTAGAGAAGATGATAATCTTTCTAATTACAATGTGATATTAGTAAACTCATTTTTTTTAGATTGGATAGTGGTCATCTTAAAAACTGATCACCCGTCAAATACAAAAAGAAAGAGAATTTTAATTAAGTAGACGTATGGATGAATAATAAGTGAAGTAGGTAGTTACGTTTTTAAACATATAGTCAATAAATAGATAGGTAGTCATAAAGATAGTTAAAATTAGCTAGTTAGATTACTATATGTGCTTGTTTATAAGTTAATGAGTAAAGTGATAGACCTATTTATCTGTATATCAATTACTGATATTATATGAATGGCTTAGGCGGTAAAAAAATATCATGAGTAAAAATAGCCCGACAATCTGATTATCTTAAGATATTAATTGTGGTTCTCAGTTATAAGATAGTTCGAATTTCGGTGAAGTAGTTTCACGTGTTTTCGGTTTTTTATTTGCTTGGAATCATTCTAGTGGTATGATTATTACTATTATTTTTCTTACCAGAAAATGTATCAACAGAACGCCATGCTTCTTCAAATGATTTAGGTACAGGTTTGGCAAATGGTGCCTAAATAAAAAAAAATCTTCATACATTTTACATTTATCAAACAAACATATAGCATACACGTCTTCGTCGACTTTCTTCATCTTCATTTGAAAACTCTAGACCAGGTATACCAACTTCACGTTGATTGGTTAACTCATCTAAATAACATTTAACACAATAAAAAACTTTAAATCGATTGTTTTTCAATACAAATTTACCTTGTTGTTGTTGTAATTGTTCAAGTATACCACCTTCAAAACCTAAACCAGGCATATTCATTTCCATTGAACGTTCATGTTCTAATTCTTCGCGATGTAATTGTTCAAGACGTGCAGCATGAAGTAATAGTCCTTCTTCACTTCGTTCAAGTACAGTATCACCAGATCGATTACGAGTCCAAAATCGTCTGAACATTAAAAAAAAATAAACGAATTATATCAATATCAAACGAAAAAGAACATAAATACATACGTGGTATGATCATTTGAACCACTAACGAGCATATGACCAAGAGGATGCCACGACATATCCCATATCATACCTTCATGGGCATCATCCATACCGGCTAATTCCTTTTCTGTTCTATTAAGAAAAAAAAATCACTTCATAAGATTTTCAAAGGATGTTTGTCATTGATTTTTCTTGTACTTCGAATATTATTCTAGAGAATAATATTTTGACCTCAAATGATATATCTACTATCAAATCATGCAAGATAAATATGTTTCAATCGAACTTGTGCAACTCTTTACTACTAAACTAATGTTTAAAACTTTCATTATTTGATTATGATCTATGTTCTCCATGAACTGTCTGTCCCATTCGCATTAATTGAATACATTAAACATAAATATTTAATTAGTGATTCATTTGTCTCTAATGAAAAAATCATACCCGACAAGCCAAAAATAGATTGAACCATCGGATCCTCCACTTGTAAAAAGGCGTTCGTGTATCGGATGCCATGCCAATGCTAAATGATGAGTAAAAAAAAAGAAAATAATTAAACATACAAAACGAAAATTTCTTCTTTAAAATAACATTTTCATTTATTATTACTATAAACTTCAATGCATATTTATGATTGTTTCTGTTGTACAGCTCTGGAAAAAACGTCTTCTCTCTTCTATTTTGTTTAAAACTTTTAATATTTGCTTTCTTTTTATTTTCTTATTTATTGATTCAGATGATCTAATCGTATGCAACTATTTGCTAATGTATAAAATGTAAATCAATATCGAGAATAGTTTTTTTCATCACTCTTTCCTAAAACTTTAAGCATAGCACTTTCTCTCTCATACGGCGGTGAAAATTTATTTCTCAAGCTACATTCACTGGGTTCTACAATGTCAAATGAGATCCTTTCAAAGTACATTGGATGTAAATCAAAAGTCGTACGGCATTAGCTTGGCAGATAGCAACAAAATGAAGATGTATCTAATTTACCAAGAGCTAACTGACAGCGTGCCACATCGAAGAAAACAGAAACAAAGATTATTCATATGGCCAAACTTGAGTCTGAAATTATATCAAATGACATTTCAAAAATTCTAAAAAGCGATGGAATTTATGGTCCACCTTTAAAAAACCTTTTATTAACATTATGAGCAATGACTCATTTGAACTCGACAAGCATCAAAATTTCAATCGAAACAACATAATCTTTACCGATAAGAAGACATACAAACTTGTTAATAACGGAAAAAAAGTTTGACGGTTTCTATGTGTTACCAATACTGTTCATACAATGAAATACTCTTTCAAGTATGTGCAACATATATAAGGACGACCTTCTGTTTACTGGTCATCGTCAATTTTTTGAAGGTCCATCTAGATGAATCCTTCAAAAGAACACTGATTCTAAACATAGATCCCATCTAGCGATCGATAATCGAAATCAGTTTTGGTGTTGACTCTCGGCATCATCAGATCAAAATCTAATTGAAAAATTTTGATCACTGATGAAAAATACATTAGGTTAAAAACAATTCAAACAAATTCAAGAATTAAAACAAGAAATAAGAAAAGCATGGTCAGCCTTGTCAATTGACTTGGCCGTCGAATCTTTCGATCGCATGATGTTTGATTGAAATAAATGTTGACTGTATATTATATTAATATAAAATATATTTATTATACTATAGTTTGATAATAAAAAAGTTCTTTAAAAAAAAAAAGGGACAGGGAAGACTTTTATCCAAGGATTTATGCCCATTTATTAGATGAAGAAATAGTTTTATTTCATTTTTAAAAAGAAACAATATCAAGAAAATACATTTTTTTATTATGATTTTTATTCGTAAATAATAATAAACGAATAAAATGAGCTTACTGCATGCTTCTTTTTTGTGTCCACGAAAACATTGAACTTCTTCTTTAAGATTTCTTATATCAAATAATTTACAAAAATGATCACGTGATGCTGATAATAACCAATTTCCATTATGACGATTCCATTTTAATGCCATACATGTATTTTTATGAGCATGACTAAATTATTTAAAATAAAATATAAATCATTTTTCTATTGTCTAAAATTTATAGAAATTAATTTACAGTGTTGCTAATTTTTTTCCACTTTTTGGATCCCAAATAATAATTGGTTGTTGAGAATCTTTACTACCAGAAACAAGTATACCTTTATGTGGATGCCAATCAACACATTTTACATCACATCCATGACCTAATGTATTTTGTTTTTTCAAATAATAATACAATTTAAACAATATGTGTGTGGAAAAAATAAACAAACCTCGTAATTCACGTTCTTCAGTACCAGTCATAAAATCAAATATACGAATAAAACTATCATCGGAACAACTGGCAAATTTACTATCATTTGGTGAAAATCTATATGAAGACAAAAAAAATGATTCGATTTTAATATTTTTCTATTATTTGAATATTTTCAACTTGAAATAAAATACAATTACAAGTTCGATAGATTGATCAAAAATGATGAAGAATAATAAATGTGCATTTGCGAGACTTTACTAGATGATTATTCAATAAAATACTACGAGACTCTAAAATAGGTATGACCAATTCTTAGGAAATTTTTTTTCTAAATTTATCATGTATTAGATCTTACTGATTAATAGCTTAGTTCTTCTAAATACAACTCTTCGTACAAAAAAGAAATGTACGATGTCAATTGCAAAGAAAACAATGATAAGTATCTCTGATTATATTATTTTCAGAGACATCTAATGTATTTACTAACAAATTATACAGAATGCTATAAAATTCTTAAAATTTCTATGTCAAATAAGCAGGCCGTTTTTAGATGTGTTTTCATCGTTTGATAGACACAGTATTACTACCATATTTCATTGTATTGAAAACAATCATACATTCAATTTTGTAATTGTTTAACAACCATTATCAACGAATGGTCAACCGTTACGGGTCACCTTATTATGTTGTTACAGCACGCTCAGTAGTATTACTGGCTATATTCTCACCTAAAACTTAGTAAACATACCGTATTCTATCATACATATGCTTGTATTAGTGATCCTGTATTTTCTGAAAAAAAAACAGCTCTATTAACGTATCGTATTTTTTTTAATAAAGATAGATTCTATTATATTTAACTTTTTTTTACTAAGAATTATTTTTTATGATCATTAAGAATTCCATATCATATTGACTATTTATTTCACAAAATATTATGTATATTATTGTGTCAAAAATAATGCATAAACTAAAACAAATGAATATCTAGAATTTAAAACTTCATTGAAACATCGATTTATTCTTTTGTCATCATTATTAATACGATAAATATTCATCTAAAAAACTCTGATTGATATTTTTTTTATGTACATTCTTATATATTACTCAAACAATTTTACATATATAACTTACGTTAAACCTCTAACTGGATCATTATGTGCTTGATATACTTTAACATTATTCATATTTGATTGCCAATATTTAACAAAACCATTATGATCACCAGTTAACATCCATTGTTCATTATTCGACCAAATCATTGCACGTACAGCAGAATCATGTGCCTTAATTAAAAACAAAAATCAAAATAAGAAAACTTTTTTTAAGCTTTCTTTATTATCATATCATACTTGTAAAATAGTTTCAAAATTAAATGTTAATCCATTCCATAATGTAAATTCTCCACTAGATGCACCTGTTATCAAACGACGACCATCAGGTGTCCACTAAAATTATTTTAGAAAGTATTTATAAATGCATATATCGAAATATATGACATACACAAACACAGAATATTGGACATCGAACTTTATTTGTTGCTGGTCGAATAAATTTTGTCATTACACAATTTACTGGATTTGATAGAAGAGCATGAGGTGGAACAAGCTATCATAAAAGAAAAAAAAACATATATATATTTTCAATTAATACATTCGACCCGATGTAGCCGACCGGTGGGCTACGACGCTATAGTTTAACGAGAAACTGTATAGAAAGGCATTTGCTTTTGTTTTTTTCTTAAGTAGGAGGCTAAATATAAGGAGTCAACTGTGCTGCCTTTAGTACTTTATTTGAGTTCTTTACTCCATAGCATAATGCTTATCATTAAAACACTCAAGACAAAAAAATTTATCACAGTCAGAACAGAAAGTTTTTACTTTCTTTGCTGCTGCATAGGTCGCTTCTCCTGACTGTTGTGCTCTTTCCTTCGCATAGCAGCTAGTGCACCGTCTGCCAACATTGCGCGTAGATCCTTCCTTTTCTTCGAGTTTGTGATCAGCAAGGTTGCGCTTCGAATAACTTACTGATTGCTGTCTTGGACCAGGTTTCAGCTTCTCGATTAGTGTGCGAAGCAGTAAAGACCGAACAAGACTTTCACGAAACTGCAGAATGGTCACTTTGCTTGCCCTGTAGTTTTCCTTGTATATCAAATAGCTATTTACTAGTGCCGCCCCAAAAACTAATTCAAATGCTACCTTTCGGTACCTCTTTATTGACCGCCTGAGGTCATTAAGTGCATTTATTAGTTAACTGTCCATGAAAATGAACATCTCGAAAAAATTTTCTAAGAAAACTGAATCGGGTCGAATGTGTTCAAAATATATAATGTATGAATTAATAATGTTACATGTGGAATATAAAGAACATCAGGTTGTAATGATCGTCCATCAGTTAAATTTCGTTGCCAAATTGAATTCTAAATCTATAATATTAATCATAGAATAATCAATACAAAATTCTTACTTCGAGATAACGTATAATTGATGAATTATAATCGACTGTTTTACGAGCCATTGCTTTACGTAACATTTTTCCATCAAAACCGATTTCACCTTTTGTTTTTCACAAAAAGAAGAAAAAAAAAACAAAAATTCGAATTTTTCTTTTTCCTATGAATTAAAATAATTTTATTAATTTACCAGGTTGAACAGGTACAATAGATGAATTAACTGAACTAGATGTTTGACTGCTGGAAGTTGCATGATGATGTTGAGAATAATGAGGATGATGACCAGTAAAACGAGGTGGGGGCCTACAAATTACAAAAATAATAAGAATAAAAACTTTTCGATATCAAAAACTTACATTTTGGTTTTATTTTTATTGGTCAAAATCTAATGCATTGATTTCACAAACAAGGAAAGACTAGCAGATTTCAGTTTCAGTGAGCAAATAACTGAGGATGAGTAATAATTAAAATTTAATCCATGAAGATATGAACCAATGAAGTCTTTTGCTATCAATAGAGGGTGTTAAACAACATCTATTACACTATTAGTCAATATCGAAATCATTCTGTTTTTTTTTTTGCTATTGCTCCAACGATAGAAACCAATTATTTTTGGGTGCAAAGAATTGTAGCTGTTAATCATATCTTCTTTTTTTTTTTCTTCGTATTTTTCTTTGCTCAGTCAATCGTGTCAGATAGGATAGGAAAGGATATTTTGCTTTTTGTTTTTCTTCATGATTTAATCCTCATCACTTATCAATGCAGTATAGTGCTAAAACACAACCATTACGTATTGGTTTACTTGGTTTTGGTCATCTAGGACAATTTATTCATGAATATATTGAAAATGAGCGTAATAAATCAACATATGATTTTGATTTAATTTTTATTTGGAATCGATCAAAAGATATTTTTTCAACATATGATAAAAAACTTAATCAAAATTTAATTGTTTCAACTATTGAAGAAGGTTTACAACGTTCACCTGATTTAGTTATTGAAGTAGCACATCCAAATGTTATTGAAACTTATGGAGAAAAAATACTTGATATATGTGATCTATTTATTGGATCACCAACAGCTCTTGCTAATGCATCACTTGAAATAGGATTAAGAAAAAAAACTCTTCAATCAGGTCATGTTATTTATATAGGTACAGGTGCTTTTTGGGGTGCTGAAGATATTAATAAAATGAATGAACGTAATACACTTTGTTCATTAAATATTACAATGAAAAAACATCCAGATTCATATAAACTTAATGAACCATTACGAACAAAATTAATTGATGAACGAACAAAACTTGGTGATAAACCAGGTGAAATTATTATTTATTCAGGTTCAGTTCGTGAATTATGTCAATTAGCACCAAATAATGTTAATACAATGGCTGTTGGTGCAATAATAGCTAGTAATCTTGGTTTTGATCATGTTCAAGGATGTTTAATTGCTGATACATCATTATATGATCGACATATTGTTGAAATTGAATTAACAGGACCAGAAAAAACTATTGATGAAAATAAAAAAGTGAATTTTCATTTGAAAACTATTCGAACTAATCCAGCTGAATTTGGTTCTGTTACTGGTACAGCAACATTTCTTTCATTTATTAGTAGTATTAAACGTGCAAAAGGTCGAACGCCAGGCATTCATGTTGTTTAATCCATTAAAATTACATTTATAGTTATACGACGATTTTTCTTAATAATTTTTTTTTAAAAATTTTTAGATAAAATAAAAATAAAAAAAAATGACATCAAAATCTTCTAGTAATGTTTCAACATTAAAACGAAAAGTACAAGTTGTACAACAATTACCACCATCATCATCATCTTCTACACCAGCAAAGCAGATTAAAAAAGAGCCAAATTCAGAAAAACTTAAGGTTTTTATATGTAGTATAGAGAAAAAATTTTAATTCTCCTAAACATCAATAAATACACTGACTTTTTTTTTTGTATTACGAAGAAAGATCTCCAGTTAGTCCACGCCATTTTCAATGATATTTTGTGCATATGTTAGGAATATTATTCTACGAGTCTTTGGACTGATCAGACTTATTTCGAGAATTATGACTATTTCACTGATTTCTTTTTTTATTTATGTCAAAGTATATAGGAAAAAATTGAATAATGGAATTTCAATCTGAAATTTTGCTTATATGAATTTCTTGTGGTTCTTGAAACATTCTAAAAGTTTAATTGGAAAATAATTTTTTCTTTTGAAGATATTGATTTTTATAAATTTCTTTCATAATCTGTTAAATCCTGAAGAATTGACTTTCAACATTTTTTTCACAGAAATTTTTAGAGTGTTTCAATAATAATAAGAATTATATAAGGATTGTCTAATTTTTCTGTATATACCTTATGTTAGATGAAAAGAAAGTCAACAAAATGGTCATAAACTTCGAACTTAACTTCATCAGTTCAAATCTTTTTAGAATAATGTCCTTGACATACGGATTCAATATGATTGAAAAAGACATGAAGAAGTTGGTGACATTCCTTCGCTATTAAAAGCTTTACGATATTGGACTCAATTTTTCCAGATCTTTTGGAATTTCTTCAAAACTATTAAATGATCTTTTAATAGTATATAGCATATTCCAAATGTTTATAGAACTTTTTAGTTTACGTTAGAATGAACACGAAGATTAATAATGAATTCAGAAACAGAATCCTGGAAAAATCGTTCATAAAAGTCGATAAATGTTAAATGATACGAACAAGAACAAAACTTTGTCTACACATATTCAATGGCATTAAAAATCTCCAAAAGTCTCTCATATATTTAATTCTGAATTGATTTTATTCTTTTTAAAAATTATAAACTCTTGAAAAAGCGCTATAGTAATTTGTAAAATAATACAAAAAATACATATCAATAAGAAAAGAAAACAGGTGTATTTAATTGTTATTTAAGAAAATTTGAAATTCTTATTGAAATTTTAATTTTCTTTGTAAAATATTGTTTAAATTTTATTTTTAGTCTCAACGTCAACATGATCTATCAGAAGATGATATAATACGTTCACGACTTCTTTATGAAGGTGATCAAGGTATTGATGATCGACGTATATTAACATTAATGAAAACATTTAATAAATTTGTATATGATTTATCATCAAATTTCGATGAACATAATTTAACAATAGAAAAATTACTTTCTTTACTCTATTCAATTGAACATTCACATCATCTTTTAAAATCAACATATAAAATGGATGAACTTGAACAAATATGTTATGCTTCAAAAAGTCAACGTTTAAATGAACAAATTAAACAATTACGTTATGAACTTGATCAAAGTGATTTACGTTTAATTGAAGCTAAACAAAAACGTTCAAATTTACTTGAATATGATGCACGTACAGCTACAATTAATAAATTAGGTACACGTCGAGAATTACGTGCACAACAAGCAGCTACATTAGAACGAAAACATTATTTTGAACATCTTCAACAAACATTTGAAGCAACGTAAGATATTTTAATAATTTTATCTTTTCATGTGGAAATTAAAACATAACTAAAAAGGTTTGAATTAATAAAATGAAAAGCATACCTTCAATACTTCATACAAAAATCTGAAGAATGTTCGGGTAGGAATGAAGGTTATGTGAAGTTCATTAAGTATATGTAAACAAAAGCAGCAGACATTCTTTCAAAAGAAGAAAAGTATAAAGAAACAAGCATTAACTTTTACTATATATAGTTGCTACATTTTCGGAATGTTAAATATGTCTAAATCTATAGTAAAACTTTTAAATAGATATAATAATAAGATATAAATAGAAACAATCAAACTATTAAATAACAAAATACTTGTGAATCTTATTTTCCATGGATACTGTCATGCTTAATCAACCACAAAATATGTAAGGTTCTCAGAAGATTTTTTTTTCGTAGAATACGCTGCGCTGATATGTGGGTGACAAGAATATTCAAATCTACTCAATAAATCATAGCTAAAGTCAAAATACTCGAAAATGTCAATTACTGCTCAGCAACAGTCAAAAATAGCCAAAGTTTTTGAGTATTTTGCTCTTAACATCAGGATTTATTGAGTACATTTGAATATTTGTTGTTTTTTACCAAAATGATTAGTACGATGAGTTCTAGAGACAAGAAAAAATTTTCTGAGAATCTTTCATTTTGTTGTTGATAGAAAGTATGAATGCGAAAAGTAACAATATTTTATTTTTTCATTCGATATAGAATCACAAAATAAAAAATTGATTAATCTCGAGCTATAACATTTTTTTTGTTCGTATATCTATTTTTTGCTATACAAAATGGAATAAATCATATGATTAAAAGATACAAACATGTTATAAAAATGTGACGAAGCAGTGAAGAAGTAAATTAAGATTCGAACGAGATAAGAGAATAAAATATTTTCCCCGTTTCGACTTCTAATAGCAATACCTCAAAATTCATAGAAGTTTTATTGATGATTAATATGAATCGTTTATTTTTATTTATAGTTATCAACAACGATTGAAACAAATAGCTGTTTATATGCGTCCTATATTTGAATTAGATGAAATTTTACGACAAGATGCTCATGAAGATAGTCCAAGTGAGGGACCAAATGAATCCCCTGTTGAACAGCAATCATCATCATTGATTTCTACTTTACCAACTATAAGAAGTGAACGACAACGAACGAATTCTGATTCTTCGGCAGCTTCAATTGAGGCTGATGATACAAATTCAACAACAACACGTTCAAAACGACAACATAGAAATCATTTAGGATTAACATCATTATCAGCATCATTAGCAAATAATCAACCACAAGCATTATTTTCGAATGAAACAGAATTATTTGGTACACAACTTATTAATCCATTGTTATTATTATCTTCTTCGAATATTTCTTAATTCCTATGTATAATATTTTTTTTTTCTTTCATCAACAAAAAGAAAATACTGATGCTAATCTCATGTTTTTTTTTTTTTTTACTAACAATTAATTATTGTCGTTTGATTATGCTAGTATTTATATTCTCAGATGTTTGATCATCAGTTCGAGCATGGAATTCATGAAAACAGATATTTTTTTCGAAATTTATAATTAGTATATAAAAACGAAAGTTCAGTTGTTTTGTATATGAGAAAAAAAAATTACAAATTAAATTAAATATGTTCCAAATAATTTGATCTAGTAGAGAAAATAATGTTTGATAAAGAGAATATATCAGATATCTTCGTTGGTATGATTTGTATGATACTCAATAGTATTATGTGTTGTTGTTTTTCTTGCTTTAGATCTAAGATTAAATGTGGCATTTATGTCGTTTATCAACTCGGCCATTAATTGGCGTATGTCCTGTATTAATTCGACAGCGACCATTGATTCCAATACCATCTTCAACTTCTCAACGACTTTTTTCTTTTCCATCTTTTTTTAAAATAAAAAAACAGTTACCTGAACCTCTTCCACAACCACCAGTTAATCCACGCCATCCACCTGATTATATTCCAACACGACCACCTATTGATCCAAATGTATCAACACCTGTTCAATCTCAATCTACTATATTTGCTCGTTTTCATCATGCATATGCTAAATATGGAAAAATTCTATTAGCTGTTCATTTTGTTTCATCATTTGCATGGTTTTCTGGTCTACTTTTACTTCACTTCAATGGTTTTGATCTTGGTATGAAATAAGATCGAAAATATTTCATTCTATTATAGTTAAATTTTTTTTTTAATAGGAATGTATGTTATGGACGGTCTTGTACAAATACATGTAATCAGTCCAGAACGACGTTTATCATTTATACGTCATATGAATGAATTTTCAATTTCCGGAATTTTATCACGAATTCCATTTATTTCAGAAGAACGTCTTAATAGATTGAACGCATATTGGACTGGTGAACGTGTTCGTTTATTAGCTACAGTTTTATTACTTTATAAATTTTTAACACCTGTCCGTTATGCTTTTACATTAGGTGCAACAACATATATATCACGTACATTTCTTAAACGTGGTCTTATTAAACGAGCACCACAAGGTGATTCATTACAAGAACTTTATCGTGATCAAAAACTTTTAATTAAAAGTCATGTTAGACGAGCAAGAGAAAAAATAAAAACAACTGCACGACGTGGTTCACACAAAGTTGAATGAATCGTGTTTACTTGTTGTTATGATTTAAAGTTTATAGCTTTTTGTTTTTCTGTTTCAATTTGTTCACTAATTCAGCTTTATATGAATATATCAATGGAAATAGCAAAAGCAAATGATTGCTTTGTTTGATTTAAATTTATATTTAATTATTAATAATAATTCTATGTGTATCATCAGTGATTAATTAGTATCATTTTTAAAACAAAAAAGATCTAATAATTATCAGATTTTTGTTTTTACATCTCATTGCTTTTTTTTTTCATACAAATAAAGTGATATGTACTGTAATTAATTATTAGATAATATTATGAGTATATCTTGCATGTATTTGGTTCATTTAAACATTATTCATTCATATGTCTAAAATAAACACCAGAAATGAAGATAATGAGAAAGATAAAAATATATAAAAATAACATTCAAACATATTGAAGAATTTTTACGGAAAAAAACACACTTAACTGTTGTAGAAAGTTTCATAATAAATCTCAACATAATCTGACGATACTAATAAAGGGTTTATTCATGAACAAACTTTGAAAATATGTTGACACTATTGTTTTTGAAAAAACTGTAAAATTAATTGTTTCTAACATATTTCGAGCAATGATACAATTGCTCATTGTTTAGCAGTTAGACATTGACAATTGTCATGATAATTTAATATTGTAGTCTTTTCGGATGGAAGTTCTACAGAGATGAGGAGTGTGGGTGTAGATGTGGGCCAAGAAGGAGATTAGGAACCATACTAATACCCACACCCAGTGTGATGCTTTTCTTTACTATTCAAAAAATTACACGCACACACTCACTCTCTGATATTAAAAAAAAAACAGCTTTTCTGAAAAACTTTACTTTTATCTGCCTAAATTTTTTTCATCGTAATTCATGTTTAACTGACTGAAGCTCAACGTTAATATAGTGCATCTTGTAAAGAATTTTACGCTCTACAAAACCATTATAGAGATTTTGAGAAAGAAATTTTCAGAAAAGGTTCAAAAAACTGGGTGATGCATTATTTTCAAGTCATGAATTGGTGGCTTTTGACTGATATTTAGCAGAATTTGTTTTGTAAATGACATATTGATCAAAAATAATATGGTACTCTGAGTCAGCATCAAAAACTGAGTCAACTGACATGTATTTAAAGTATTTATGACAAGCTATACAAAATTGAAGATGATTAAACAATAAAAGAGCATCGTGATGAATTTCATTTTTCTGATTAAATCCTGAGGTGGACTAGAGGTGAAGTTCTCGACCACAAAGAAAAACATTTCAAATATATTTAAAATACATACCAGTTGACTCAGTTTTTGATACTGATTCAGCATATTATATTAGTTTTGATAGTTTGTCATTTTCTCTGCAAATCCTGGTGAATAATAGTCAAAAAGGCACAAACCTGTGCGTCTAAAATAATGCATCACCGTCTTTTTTCTCAAAATCTCCGTAGTGGTTTTATAGCACGTAAAATTCTTTACAAGATGCACTATATTAAAGTTGAGCCCTGATTTGTTATCATATTGTGAAACAGTTCACGATCACAAAAACTCAGTCAAATAATAGTTCAATTTTTCAGAAAAGCTTATTTTTTCTAATCAAGATCCGTCTTTTTGAGAAAACCTATTTGTAACGTTTTTGTTGTTTTATGTGCTATTTCAAATGAGATATTGCTAAAATAATACGGATAAAAATTGATGAAGATATAAGCGAAACAATAGAGATATCCTGTTTTTATCCATTTCTCGAACGGCTTCATGTTGCAAGGCTCATAACTCAATGAAATAAAATTACAGGAGTCTAAAATTTTTTTATGACTCCAGTTTGATGTCAGGAACCAATTGATATAAATAAAAGAAAAGGTATGTCTTAATTTCGATCATAAAATCGACTTTCTCGGTGAGCTCGTGTACTTACGCTTATAACGCATTTGTTCTGTAATTTTCATATTTTGTACCGTGAGCTCTATTGAAACCGATATTTTTCGATAAAGAATAATATTCTGCACTTAACGCAACCAATTAGACATCTAGCACAAATCCAGAAGAGAATTCAGACGAGGAATGGTCGAATACGGTTCTAATGTAACTTACGTAGACTATCTACACTTTGTTTCATAAAGTAATGATAGCTTTGAAACCTATTTATTCATCTAAAAACGTTTGTACCAATATTATATTAGTAGGTCGGGAATTATTCATCAGAAAAAGCATGATTTAGATTATAATGGTAATTATGCTTGTTATACTTCATTATAAATGTTGATTATGCCTTGAAAATATGCAAATAACAGATACTTGCAAAATATGTAAATAATAATGTACATGTTATTGCATCCAGTTCCTGATTGTTTCAAAAAAAAACAAATTTTAACTACTAGCTCAGTTTGATCATACTTTGTTATTGTTTTCTTTTGTATACTCTTAAACTTGCTATTCATTATACGAATATATTTTATTGCCTTTTTATTTGGTCTTATTGTTTTTTTTTTTTACCGATTTTAAGCTTGAGTAAAACTAATTGGATTCACTCGCTTTAATATTGTGTACAAAGCTGTTTTTGTTTTCAAAAATGTTTTCAAAATACATTTCACGCACATCCATAATGCAAATAGTTTATCTATCGGAAAATCACTAGCTTTTATTATTTTAAATAGAAAAAAAAAAAAAGAACATTTCGATTTGCTTTTTAAATTGCATCTGAATTCATAACTATCGTCAAAACAAAATAATAATAATAATAACATATTAGATTAAAGAAAATTAATATCGCAAAATAAATGAAGATGATCAAAGAAAAAAAATGTCGTGTAGTTTTAATTTATACATTTTTTTGTCAGTCAATTTAATGATTTGATTTCTCCTGTTTCTTTTAAGTATCCGGTCGACGACAATCTTCACATGCATTCATCACATATTCATCATACGGTTCAATCTGTATGGTCGTTCGTGCAATAGAATGTTTATAACGAAGCATGTCTTGAGCTTGCCTCAATACTGTTAAACAATCTCGATCAGGACCTAAAGAGAAGAAAAAACAAAATCTTATATCAAAAAACGACACAATTCAAAGAAGACATAGAATAATTTTCATATTTCAACAATAGAATTTCAAAGATTGCTTACTGATTGCAATATGAACGGATAGAGCTGTTCTTTGCAGTGATAATGACCATATATGCAAACTATGTGCATTTTGTACACCAGGTAATTGAAGAAGATCATCAACTACTCGTGAATAATTAACATTTGATGGAACAGCTAATATATAATATAATAGAAAACAAAATGGACAAAATTCGATAAAAAAAAAGAAAACTACCTTCCATAAGAACAAAGATAATATCACGCATGATTGTAATTGTTGTAATAAGAACAAGAATAGAAAAAATAAAAGTACAAATAGGATCGGCTAATTTATATTGTGGCTAGAACCATAACAAGAAATATAATCAATTTTTATTTATTCAATTTTAAATATACCTTAAATTTAATGAGTAAAGCCGCACATAGAACACCAACACTTTGAACAAAATCTCCAATAACATGTATAATAGCAGCTCGTACATTAATATTTTTCGATGATTTTTTTGCTTTTAAAATTTTTTCTCGATTTTGACCAGTTACAATATTAGCAACTAATGGTGAAGCATTAATAATCGCATCTGCATTTTCAAGATCTTCCTCACGTGAATATTCATGATTATCTGTACTTGAATGATCATGATTATTTGCATGTGAATGATCATGATTATCTTCATGCGAATGACCATGATTGTTTCCATGTGAATGACCATGATGAGGTATTGATGTACCACATACATTAGCATGTAAAACAAAAAACATTCTATAAAAATAAATAACAAAAAAACAATTTTTAGTTTTCAAATGATAATTAATTCATAATTCATACCTACACAATATTGAATACAACGCCACATGATGCAACAATAATCATTTGTAATGGTTGTACTTCAAAATTTTGATTAATACAACGTTCAACAGCCATATAAACAAGAACACCAGTTACTAACCAAATTGTTAATACACTAAGAAGTGCTCCAAGTACCTCTAAAAAAATAAGTGAATAAAATTAAAACAATGAATATATATATATTATTTTAATATGTGTATAAACCTGCTCGAATATAACCGAATGAAAGTCTTTTTGTTGGTTTTTTTGTTGCAAGATACATTGCTGTTAATGATATTAAAAAACTAGCAACATCAATAGCCATATGAGCTGCATCTGTTACAACAGCTGTTGAATTAGAAAGAATACCTCCTACGTAAAAATAAAAATACGCATAATAATTGTTTTTTTTTTCTTATCTTAAAATTAATAACATACCGATTATTTCAATTATCATAAAAATGATACAAATAATTAGTACAAGAATAAGACGATTTCTTGCACCGTAATCAAATTTATCATCCGGTACATGACAATGAGTTGATTGTAAGAGCGATTGATTTGATATAATTCCTGGTCTTACTACTTCTGTATTATTCGCACCATTTAATAATGGTGCTTTATCTTCAGTATCGTCAGCCATTAATATAAAACTATCATCCGATGCATTGCCGTCATTATGGTTTCGTTTGGTATACTGTTCTCGACCAAATATATGCGTGTTTGATGTCATTAAAAGAAAAACGATCGAAAAGGAAAGGAAAAAAAAAATTATTCGACTTCAGTCAATAAAAGAAATTCAATCTAAAATATAATATTCCATCAGGGAACTTTGAAGATTAGACAAAAAAAAAAAGTGTTACATTATAGTTATTCACCTTTTTATTCTTTTCTCATCATTCCGAATATTAAATGTAATTAAAATAAATAAAAGATATTCAAACAAAAACGAACAAGAGTCTATATAAACATACCTTATCAATATTCAATAGAGGTCGCATAATCTTTCATAAAACTCTTTTATATTTATAGAAAAAGATCTTTAAAAACTATTGAAATTTTTTTCATTTTTTTCAAATTTTAATAAACTTATCTAATCAGTCTTGGTAGGTCTCACCTGTCTATCAATCATTAGTCGTTTATTATCCATTCAAATTGTTCAACGTTTGTCAATGTTTTATATCAATAATACCTAATTTAAATTGGTTTTGATTATCATGGTATGAATCTAACATTCCACAATATACTTTCTTCACATGTCTCGGTGTATTGATAAACTATTTCATTTATTTATCCTTGCTATCCTGTCAGATTTTTTAATACATGGTAAATTGAGCATAGATTTTTCTTTAATTTGAAATTTAAAATACCAAAAAAAAAAAAACAAAACAATTTTTCATAGGTGCTATTGGAGATGCAAGTGAAAATGTTAATGATCATTTAGAAAAAGGAAAAAAATTATTAGCTAGTGGACAATTAGTAGATGCTCTATCGCAATTTCATTTAGCAATTGGTATGATAATTCAGAAAAGTTTAATTTTTATAAGTTTACATTTGTTTTTTGTTCGGTTTAGATGTTGATCCAAAAAATTATATTGCTTATTTTCGACGAGCTGCTGTTTATTTAGGTATGGGAAAATCAAAAGCAGCATTACCAGATTTAAATAAAGTTATTGAACTTAAACCAGATTTTCTTGCTGTAAGTTTTTTTGTTTATAATTGAATCAATTAAAACTTTCTATTTTATTTAAGGCTCGTATACAACGAGGAAATTTATTATTAAAACAAGGAGATTTTGATGAAGCAAAAATTGATTTTGAAAGTATAGTATGTAGAAAATTATTTATTATCTTTTGTTTTGTTTTAAATAATTTTTTAATCTTTGTATATTTAGTTGACATCAGATTCATCAAATAATGAAGCACGTATTCAATTTGATTTAACTAAAAGAATGAGTCAAACAACACAAGAAGCAAAAAATGCTTATGCAAAACAAGATTATACTAAAACTATTGAATTACTTTCAATAGTAATTGAGGTTTGAATCTATTTTTCTTTTTATTTCGAGAATATTCTTTTGTTATTGTTGTTGTTATTTTTCTTTTTTAAAGCATTGTCCATGGGCAATAATATTACGTGAATTACGTGCTGATAGTTATTTAAAATCAGGTGATTTAGCAAAAGCAGTTAATGATCTTAAAGCTACAGCAAAATTAATACCTGATAATACTCAAGCATATCTTAAAATAAGTCAATTACTTTATACAATGGGTGATGCTGATGATAGTTTAACGTAAATATTCAATCGTTTTTTTTTTTTTATTTTTAATTTTATCTAATAAACTTTTTCTATTAGAAATATTCGTGAATGTCTTAAATTAGATGCTGATCATAAAGAATGTCATTCACATTATATTAAAGTTAAAAAATTAGCTAAACAACTTGAATCTATACGTGATGCAATAAGTCAATCGAATTGGCAAGAATGTCTTGATAAAGCAAATCAAATTCTTAAACTTTCATCAGATTCATCATCACATACATTTATATATCGTGCACATTCATCATTATGTACATGTATGTCAAAAGGAAAATCTCCAGCTAAAGATACAATTAAAAAATGTACAGAAGTTTTAGATACATATCATGTATCTGATGTTGAAATATTAATAAGTCGTGCTGAAGCATATATATTAAATGAAGAATATGAATTAGCATTAGCTGATTATCAACGTGCACATGAAAGTGAAGATTCTAATCGTGTTAATGATGGTATAAAACGTGTACAAAAATTAATAAAACAATTAAAAAAACGTGATTATTATAAAATATTAAATGTAAGACGAACAGCAAATAAAGCTGAAATATTAAAAGCTTATAGAAAACTTGCTATTAAATGGCATCCGGATAAATATGAAGGTGAAGATAAGAAAAAAGCTGAAAAAATGTTTATTGATATAGCAGCAGCAAAAGAAGTTTTAACTGATCCAGGTTTGTATTTCAATCTTGTTTATTTTGGTTTTTTAAGAAATAATAAAATTTATTGTAGAAAAACGTGCTAAATTTGATGCTGGTGATGATCCATTAGATGCCGAAGAGCAAGCTCAACAACATAATCCATTTCATGGTTTTAATCCATTCGGTGCTGGTAATGGACAAGGCTTTACATTTCGATTTCATTTTAATTAATTGTGCATGTGTATTCGTATACAGTAGTCGCCTGTCTTTTTCTTTTTGTTTGTTTTTATTCTCATCTTCTCTATTTTGTTGTCTTTTCTCTTTCTACAAAATTGCAAAGAAAAAAAAAAACTTATGCTTCTCTTTTGTTGTTGCTATTGTTATTATTAACATCGACATTTTTTTTTTTATGTATTGATCAACAAAAAGAAATAAAAAAAAAAAAGAAACATTCAAATTAAAATAATGTTAGTTTTTTTTGGTCTTTTATTTTAATACATGAATACCATAATGACAAACGACAGATACATATTTGAAATGCACGTTTCTTTCTTTTTCTTAATGTTGCAATAAAATAAATAACTATACATATATATGGAACGACATTAATACGAAAAAAAAAATATATAATAAAATGATCGTTGAGTATATGAGTGTAAAATGTTTATTGTAGGTCAGTCTTTGTCAATGATCAATCAGACATATTCGATCCATTTGACTATAACAACCAACAATTATTTTCAATGATTAATAAAATAAAAAATAAAAAAAGAATTCTACCTGAAGTATAGAAACAATAAGTCCGAATAAACCTATTGCACTAGCAAATATTTCAATAATAAGAATTCGAACAAATAATGATGAATTTTGTGCATCAGCTAATGCTGCACCTGATCCAACAAGACCAACACATACACCACAAAATAGATTGCATAAACCAACACTTAAACCAGCGCCAAATAATTTATAACCAGCACGATATTTAAGAGCTAAGTCATCCCATTTCGTTGTTGAAAAACTCTAGAAAATATAATCATTAAATAATCTATTAGAGAAAAACAAAAAAAAAATTCTTTTATTTTTATTTACAGATATCGAACCGGATATAACAATACCCATAATAAGTCCATAGATAGCAACAGCTTCACACATAATTATTGAAATAAGATTTTTTGTTCGTATACGTGGTGCTTTAACACCACCACCTAATATACTAACACCAGTTGCAAAAATACCTCTAGAAGAAAAATATTTGTGATATATTATTTTTGAATTTAATCAAAAAAAAGAAAAATTGTTATAGTTATATTACAAAGCAGCGCCAAGAACAGATAGTGATACGGCTAATGCAATACCAACTAATGCCCATTGATAAGGTGAAATTGATAGAAGAAACCAACCAATATCAAAACGAAAACCATAGTTAGTTAACATATAAGTTAAACCTATGACGTGGAAAAATAAATCATGTATTTTTATGTTTGAAAATATTAACTAAATAATACATACCAACATAGATTGACAAGCCAACAGTTGCACTTAATGCGCCAATAGTTAAATAAGAAGAACTCATTTTATTTGTTTAAAATAAAACTAGAAAACAAAATAATGATGTTTAGAATATGTCACGGTAAAATGGTAGAACGATTTTATCGATGAAAAATATCTAACTTGATACTTTTCATGGTGGCGAACTCACTCAATTAATTGATGGTGCTGATATGCATAGTATTTGTCAATGTCTAATGACCAATAATAAGTGATTTAATCAAAGAGGTCGTACTTATACTAGGAAGAAAATGTTTTTTTTTGTTTTTGTTTTCTAAAGGTTTTTCGGCTTCGCAGCAGCAAGTAAAATAAAATCTTATGGAATATTTCGAAAATTGAAAATGAATTCTTATCTACGAGTAACTAATTTACAACCAAGAAGGAATAACATTGGTTCTAGAACGTAAATAAGAAAATAAATCTGCTTTTGTGGAGTTTAATTAAAATTTTTTAAACTCAAATTTTTATTCGATGTATACAACAAAATTTCCTGATCGATACCATTCAGTAAATTTCTGATAAAATCAATAGTCATTATAAAAGAAAGCAATTAGATGTAGTTTTATTGTACCAAAGTCAATCATTTTCGACATACAATGAATATATTTTTCACAAGCATCAATTTTTTTTGTATAATGATGCAATTCATACATTAAAATAATTACCGAGTGAGATACAATGATTGCAACATTGTTTATTTTACAAATATCTCATCATAGATAAGTCGTATAATCTTGATTTTTCTTTTAAAATGTATCCCGTCAAATTCTCTACAAAAATCGGAATAAGAAATCCCATGTAATTTTATTTGATGGTTTTATTAAAAAGCTAGAACTGATACACTGTGCGATAAGGAAATGTCCAATGATTTTGAGAGAAATGAAAATGAGAATAACGTCAAAAAAAACAAATTTTCGGTTTATTTCAAACAATATTCTTTATGATGTTCTGATATCATTTTCAAAAAAAAAAATTGAAATTCAATGATAAAAAAAATCATATCACTTAGTGCTTCAATTTTAGCCCTACAATAAAACCATGATATCAATTCAATAGGATCTCTTATTATTATTTTTGTAGAGAACTTCACGATGCATCTTCTAAGCAAAAAAATCAGAATAACGTAATTTATCTATGCGAAGATATTTGTAAAATATCCTGTAATACTTTCAGAATTCCTATTACGATTTTATTTTTCGTAATTGAGAAAAACTATTATATTAGATA